TCCATTCGGCCTGCCCATGCGCCCTCTCTGCCTCCTGGTTTGCCTCAAGGCTATTTAGCACTGCGCGAGCGAACCACCCTCAGTTCCTTCTCAACCACCTTTGGCCTCAAACTGAGCGAGCAGTTGTCTCTTCCTTCTCTGCATCATTAGTATAAGTAGTAGTTATTATTAGTCTTTTAGTTTCTTTTAATAGTTAAGTTTTCATTTTCCAGTTGGGAGGGAAAAAGAAAAATAACTTTTTGTGTCATGTTTCCTGCTCTTTTTGTGGGGGATCACCCTTACAGGGTCACTTAGTAGTCTAGAGTTTCCATTTTCCTAGTTAAAAAATAAATAAATAAAAAATAAAGAAGAAACAAAAAAACTTTCTTCTGCATTCCTAGCCTTTTTGAGGGTGATATCTCCACCCTGGGCATGACCAATTCCCCCAGTTTTAAAAGCTTCCTCTCCTGCAAGGAACCAGTTCCAGTAACAGATGGACAATCTCACTGTATCTGGTGCCTTGAAGAGGCATGCATCCCACAGAAGTGCACCTTCTGCCACCAGCTAAAGATGAGATCTCGCATGAACCAGGAGCTGAAGTTAAAACTTCTGGTGGAGGGTGTGCTTTGGTCACCAGCTGACTCTGGTGCTGAAGCTTCTCAAGGACACAGATTGTCCCTGGAGCCTTCAACCTCCAAAGGGATAGACTCACAAAAAAGCTCAGCAGATTCCCGCCGCAGAGATTTGAAAAAAAGGGCTTCAAGCCTGCAAACAGAGTCTTTGGCCAGCCAGAGGGGTTCCCCGGCATGCTCGGCCACGTTGGTCCAACAGCAGCAGCTCTTCGAAGCATGGTACCCAGAAACAGCAGGGACGCTCCAGAATCCCCATTACTCAGTAGCGGGGCCCCAGTACCATGGACGTCTCAACATCCAGAATCACCAATGGCACCAGGACATTTGCCACCAGCACCCCGGTCAGCACCTCCCCTACCCAGTGAGAAGTCTGACGGTGACCAGGATGATGTTATTTCCCTGGCCTCTCACTGTGGTCCACCGTCACAATATCAGGGACCTCCCCAACTACACCCTCATGCTGCCCTTCAATCCTGGTATGGTCCTCCCTGGGCACCCCCCAGCCCAGGCATCCCCCCCCCCCCAGTGGCCATATTGGAATCCTTGGGCAATGTACAGACCCCACGCTTCTCGAGCATCCAGTGTCTCTCATAGAGAGTCCACCAGACTTTGTCCTACGGCTTCGGTGTCCAGAACCCCAGAACCAGAGGAGAAAACTTTGGAGGGACAGGAGGAAAGGCTCAAAATGGAGGCTACCCACCAGCAAACATTTCCTCGTCATCACCAGATGCGGCTGTGATGCCCCCTCCTCTATCGCTAGCTGATGATTTTAGATACTTTCAAGACCTTGCTAATAGGGTAGTGGATGAGCTCAAATGGCTGAATGGACACTGCTACCTACAATCTCCAATTAGAGGTGTGGGGCGCAGATACACCTACAATAGAGCACCCTTAACTTCCTCTTACCTTCTTTGTAAAGCACTTTGAGATCTATAGATGAAAAGTGCTATATAAGAACTAACTATTTTCTACTAGACATAGAATTGCTTTGGAATCACAAAATCCTGAAGTCTTCACTCAGGTTTTACTCCCAGTGAATTCACTGGGAGTGTTTCGCATATGTAAGATTTCTGGATTTCACCCATGAAAATTAAGGATGGAAAAGACACGTGTTGTTAGGCAGAGCCCAGTACTGAGAAGTGCTGAGCATGTGCAGTTCCCATTGAGGTGTGTGGGAGTTCCAGGTGCTAAGTACATCTTGGATCTTATTCATCCCCTCCCATGATAAAACCCATGGGAAGAGGCTTTGTGGGAGACAATCTCAATGATGATTAACAAATTTATTTGAGCATAAGCTTTCGTGGGCTACATCATGTCACAGCTAACCTGGTGGCTGAACTTTTTGACTTTGTTCTCACCCGCAACTGTTTCACATTTGGGGACAATATATACCTTCAAGTCAGCGGCACTGCTATGGGTACCCGCATGGCCCCACAGTATGCCAACATTTTTATGGCTGACTTAGAACAACACTTCCTTAGCTCTCGTCCCCTAATGCCCCTACTCTACTTGCGCTACATTGATGACATCTTCATCATCTGGACCCATGGAAAGGAGGCCCTTGAAGAATTCCACCATGATTTCAATAATTTCCATCCCACCATTAACCTCAGCCTAGATCAATCCACACAAGCGGTCCATTTCCTGGACACTACTGTGCTAATAAGCGATGGTCACATAAATACCACCCTATACCGGAAACCTACTGACCGCTATACTTACCTACATGCCTGTAGCTTCCATCCAGGACACATCACAAGATCCATTGTCTACAGCCAACCTCTAAGATACAACTGCATTTGCTCCAATCCCTCAGACAGAGACAAGCACCTACAAGATCTCTATCAAGCATTCTTAAAACTACAGTACCCACCTGCTGAAGTGAAAAAACAGATTGACAGAGCCAGACGAGTACCCAGAAGTCACCTCCTACAAGACAGGCCCAACAAAGAAAATAACAGAATACCACTAGCTGTCACCTTCAGTCCCCAACTAAAACCTCTCCAGCGCATCATCAAAGATCTACAACCTATCCTGAAAGATGATCCCTCACTCTCACAGATCTTGGGAGACAGACCCGTCCTCGCTTACAGACAACCCCCCAACCTAAAGCAAATACTCACCAGCAACCACACATCACTGAACAAAAACACTGACCCAGGAACCTATCCTTGCAACAAAGCCCGATGCCGACTCTGTCCACATATCTATTCAAGTGACATAATCATAGGACCTAATCACATCAGCCATACCATCAGGGGCTCGTTCACCTGCACATCTACCAATGTGATATATGCCATCATGTGCCAGCATTGCCCCTCTGCCATGTACATTGGTCAAAGCAGACAGTCTCTACGCAAAAGAATTAATGGACACAAATCTGACATCAGGAATCATAATACTCAAAAACCAGTGGGAGAACACTTTAACCTGTCTGGTCATTCAATGACAGACCAGTGGGTGGCAATTTTACAACAGAAAAGCTTCAAAAACAGACTCCAACGAGAAACTGCTGAACTCGAATTGATATGCAAATTAGACACAATCAATTTAGGTTTGAATAAAGACTGGGAATGGCTGAGCCATTACAAACATTGAATCTATCACCCCATGTAAGTACTCTCACACTTCTTATCAACCTGTCTGTACTGGGCTATCTTGATTATCACTTCAAAAGTTTTTTTTTTCTTTTTTCTCTTACTTAATTGGCTTCTCAGAGTTGGTAAGACAACTCCCACCTGTTCATGCTCTCTGTATGTGTGTGTATATATATCTCCTCAATATATGTTCCATTCTATGCATCCAAAGAAGTGGGATGTAGCCCACGAAAGCTTATGCTCAAATAAATTTGTTAGTCTCTAAGGTGCCACAAGTACTCCTGTTCTTTTTGCGGATACAGACTAACACGGCTGCTACTCTGAAATCAGTGATGATTGTTTTTCAACGATTCTACTACATCATCTAATTGGGGTGGAAATTCTCTATCCTGCAGAAAAGGGAGCCTGCCGTCAAACTGTGTGGATCCTCAGGGATCCATGCTGATTCCCTGTGCTGCTACATCAGCTCTGGCCCCTAGTAGCCATGCTGTGCTCTCCCCAGCTCCCTGGCACCATGGCAGTTGCCCTCTGAGGTGCTGTTGAGGTAGCTGAAGAAGGGGGTAGTCAGACACACGGAAAGGGCCTCTGTTTGTGAGGATCTTGGGGACAATAATGCAGACCAAGATCCATCTGTTTGCTTGTTTCCAGTGCAGAATTGTTCCCTACAGTGTACTTTTGAGTGATTTATAGAACCACAGAAATGTGACATGGGAAAGATCTCAGTTAGGGGTTGAAAATACCAGTTGGCTGGGTCTTAATTTTAAAGATAATCTGTTACTTCATATTTGATTATTGTTTCAGACAAATATGATTATGAAACTATTTCCCCCAGTTTTTTTAATAAACTTTCACTCAAGCCAGTGAACTGTGGTGTGTATGTTACACCTGTAAGTGGGTTAATTTTGAAAAAAAGTCAGCTTTAACAAGAACCGGATAGAAAAACTGTTCTACCCTCAGGTTTTGATCAGCCAATGAATGATTGTTCTGATGGTGTAATTCTTCCAACTTGGAATTTCATTGGCTGAGCTTGATAAACTTAGTGAACTTCTGAGGATGGAGGTTTTTTGTGGGAACTCCACAAAAGTCTTTTCACTATTTGTTGTCCTGTTAACCCCTTATTACATTTTATTGTTGTTTAAACCTCACCTTGGTAGTCATGCTCTAAACACAGCATAACACCAATCTAACAGGCTTCAGGAATAGATATTTAAAACTTTGTTGAAATGAGTAAAGCAGTGAGTCATCACATTTTTTCTAAATAAGTTGGTGACAGTGCTTAAAAGACACCATCTAATTTAGGAACGTGTTTTGCCACACTTACTTAGGGCTTCATCCTGCACCACTGAAGTTAAATGGGAGCTATGCCACTGACTTCAAGGGGAGCAAAATCAAGCCCTCACTGATTTCAAAGGGATTTCACAGAGTAAAATACTACTCAACATGAGTGAAGTTGACAGAATCTGGCCATTAATGCCTTATAAATGCATTCTAACACTTCTAAATTGAAGGGTTTTCAGTTCGGATAAAACCAGAACCATCTGATCAGGTCTAGTTCTGATCAGGTCTAGTTCTTTCTTCCGTTAGACTGGTGGAACTCAGAAGGGAATTTGGCCCAACTTGTTTTATCGTTGAAATTTGCCACATACTTTTTGTAAAATTTTAAGGTTTGTAAACTCAGACTAGATTGCATAAATTTCTGTCACAAGCCAAAATTCTCTCTGGAAAATGTAGTTATAGCAGTGTTTACAAAAGGAAGTCTTTTTAAACAGTTCTTACATCTTTGTTTGACCAGATTTGGATTTAAAGCCACAGGTAAAATTGCCTGGCATCAATTTTTAGAGAAATTTCAGGACCCTGTGACATATGAAAATGGACAGACACTTCCTATAAGAAAAAACCACAGGTAAGTAGAAAATTACATTTTTTTTTGTTCGAGGTATACTTGAACTTGATGGAAAATTATATCTACTGAAATAATTGTTGATTAAATTTACTTCAGATAATCTTTTGAGGATATTCTCATTATCCATATAAATGTCTAAGCATATTTTTGAGTCCTACTAAGGTTTTGGCCTTAATGAGTTTACATTTTCTCCCTACTCTGAAGAGTAAGAGGATGAGAGATGAGAACTTTGTGTCAACCATGTTTTCCTGTTGTAGAGTAAACCCAATCAGAGGAATGGATGAAGCTTTCTCAAGTAACAGTGTCCTTCTAAAGCTGCGCAGACACATCCAAAATGCATATCCATCACTGAAGCAGGCATTTCTCATGATTGATACAGTAAGAGACCTTATTTTTAACTCTTACAATGCTGAGATTCTGTGGATGACTTAACACATTCACAAACCGATGCAGTTTTTAACCTCTCAAGCTACCCTCTTGACAAGTACCCAGCAACCTCTCAGATCCCAACCCTCCTGCCAAGCGAGTCTTTCCCTTCATCTGGTTTCCTAACCCTCTCCCAAACATCCTATACCTTCCTCCAATGAATTACTTGCTTTCAGGTGTTGCTGCCTTCCCTTGCCTTCTGTCCTCCACCCTAATAAAAAAAAGCCATGACCACTTACACTCATAGCAAGTGCTGGAACAAATGTGCTTCACCAAGACTCAAGCCCTGATCCAACTGCCACTTCCCTCTTGCTACCCTCTCGTCATAAATCTGACTTTGCCCCTCCCTCAACTCCTAACAATCCATCCTCACAATATGCCAGGCAGCGCAGCTTTGAAAGCATGCCAAAGGATGTATGCTATGCCAGATACAAGGGCATGTTCCCACCAGAGAAAGAGGAAACTGGGAGGCAGATTGTGGCTGAGTCACAATCTGCTTCTTGGCTGCTCCTGGGGGCAACACAACAACATGCTGCCTCATACACAGGGCTCATGGCAAAGCCCGATCTTGTATGCACGGCCCGCAGGACTTTACATTTGGCGGTATTGAAATACATTGTTTGCTTGCGCTTAGTTTACCAAGTGATTCAGATCTCTCTGTATCAGTAATTTACCTCTCCCCCAATCTTTGGGTACGTCTATACTTACCTCCGGGTTCGGCGGTAAGCAATCGATCTTCTGGGATCGATTTATCGCGTCTTGTCTAGACGCGATAAATCGATCCCGGAAGTGCTCGCCATAGACGCCGGTACTCCTGCTCCGCGAGAGGAGTACGCGGAGTCGACGGGGGAGCCTGCCTGCCGCGTGTGGACCCGCGGTAAGTACCTTGTAGTTCGAACTAAGGTACTTCAACTTCAGCTACGTTATTCACGTAGCTGAAGTTGCGTATCTTAGTTCGAACTGGGGGGTTAGTGTGGACCAGCCCTTTGTGTCATCTACAAACTTATTAGTGATGATTTTGTTTTCTTCTAGGTCATTGATAAAAATATTATGTAACTTGGGGCCAACAACCAATTCCTTGCAGGACCCTACTGGAAACACAGACCCTTGATAGTGATTCCCCATTTACAGTTACATTTTAAAACCTGTTAGTTAGCCAATTTTAAATCCATTTAATGTGTGCCATATTCAATTTCGTATCATTCTTGTCTCTTAATCAAAATGTCGAAAAGATATCAAGTTCACTTGACAAGATCTATTTTTTCCAAACACCCATCTTGATTGGCATTAATGATATTATCCTACTTCATTTCTTTATTAATCAAGTCCTATGTATAGGAGGGGAATATTATATACATGAGGCTAAATAGTCCCCTCCCCCCGTGAAAAGCCACAGGTGGGAATGTTTTGATTTTTTTTTTTTTAGTATCATTCATTTTTTTATATTTGGGGTTGGAAACTCTCCGTACACTTATTCCATTTACTCTATATAGTTTTTAACCTTTCAGTTGAGTTAATTATATTTTATTATTCTTTTTTCATCTTGTAAACTTATGTGCAACTAAATTCCATAAATTGTAATGCGTTTCTATTGTTAGAACAATTTTAGTATGTTGCTGTACTGTTTTTGTTAATCTCCACATTGTTTGTTAGTTTTTAGTATTGATTGTCTGTTGTGTCCCAGTTGCTTAAAGGATTGCTAAAGTACAAACTTAAAATGTCCACCTCAGACTTCCAGAGTTCCATGTTGCTGCATTTCCTGTTGTGTGGATAAATTTAGAAATTCAGTCTGGGATCTTTCATGAGCATTACTTTTATTTGTAAAACCCTTTTAAAAAGGATAGTTTGTGATGCTTCTCTGGGCAACCAATGCAAGCTGTGTGTAGAAGTCTCCTAAATGAAGACACCAAGGCCCAAGAAAAGAAGATAAAGTGTTTTCTAGCCACCCATGAAACCAGACAGCCTATGGAATTTATAAACATCTTAGAGTGCTCCTGAAGTTGTCATAGGTTCAAAAGAACTGTAGGTAGCTCCAAAATTACACCGTGATCCTGCAAAGATTTATGCACATGCTTAATATTACACAGGAGAAGTCCCATTGATTTTGACTGCAATTGACATTAAAGACACGCATAAATGTTTGTAGACTCAAATTCTATACCAAGCCATTCTGGAAAATGTTTCAAAGAAGTTTGGAAAATTTCACAAATGCAAATATGCAACTTCTCAAATTTCTCAACTGCCTTATCCAGTTATTCCCAAACTTAAATAAATAAATATCCCTTGGCACATGACCACACATGAGATATTATAGGCAGAATTATTGCATTTTAGTGAAATGAGGGAAGGGATTAAAATCAGTATGATAATGTAAAGTAAGTTTGAACCTCAACTACAGAGTCATTATCACAGCCCCATGCTATACAATATAAATAGAAAATGTGGAACTTGTAAAACATTTCTTGTTTGTGGTCTATAATCTGACAGATGTATAATGTCAGACCTGTGAGATTGACCAGGATCATTCCATTGCATCACTCACTTTATCTGCAGCAATATTTTAATCTGATTTTTTTAACAGAATTTGGGCATGCTTTTTATGTCTAGCTCTAGAATGAATGCACTCTTAATAAAGAACTGTCAGTCTATTCTGTTCTATGGCTTTCATGATGTACTGAACTATGTTAAAAAAAGCATTCTTGTCATTTTTGATGGAATGTCATGATATATATGATCCATACACTGGGCTGTGTGATCGTTGCTTTAATGGACAGATGGAATTTTTTTATTACTTTGATTTGCTACAGATTGCTCTTCTTAAATTGTACAGTCTATATTTTTGGATTGGATGAGCAAATAATAGACTGAAAAAATTAAAGCTTTCAGTCTGGTTGACACAAGCAAAATGAGCACTGGGCATATCTTCAGAGGTACTGCTGGCATTTTTTATTACAAATTTTTATATAGATGATATATCACAATTCCTTTCTAATATAATTACATAAAAATTGCTCTTTCCCGCTCTGCAGTATAAATTACACACATATGTTTCAGAGTGGTAGCTGTGTTAGTCTGTACCAGCAAAAACAATGAGGAGTCATTGTGGCACCTTAGAGACTAACAAATGTATTTGGGCATAAGCTTTCATGGGCTAAAACCCACTTCATCAGATGCATGGAATGGAAAATACAGTAGGCAGGTATATATACACAGTACATGAAAAGATGGGAGTTGCCTTACCAAGTGGGGGTCAGTGTTAACTAGACAATTCAATTAAAGTGGAAGTGGGCTATTCTCAACAGTAGAATACCAAGGGAGGAAAAATCAGTTTTGTAGTAGTAATGAGCAGGGCCGTCCCTAGCTATTCTGGGGCCCTACGCAGTCCCCCTGCGGAGGGCGGAGGCAGGCCTCCGCAGGGGGACCACGGGGAGAGCTGGCCCCAGGCCTCTGTGGGGGGATCTGGCTTGGGGGGCAGGAGGGAACACCCACCCCCCAGCACTAACCGGTGGCGTGGCTGGGTCGCTGCACTTCCCGCCACCAGTGAGTGCAGGCCCGGCCCTGGGCCCTGGTGCTCGACCCATACACTCCCAGTCTTTATTCAGGCCTAATTTGATGGTGTCCAGTTTGCAAATTAATTCCAGTTCTGCAGTTTCTCAATGAGCCCCATTGGGTTTGTGCTAACTCTGTCTGCATATCTATTCAAGGGACATCATAGGACCTAACCACATCAGCCACACCATCAGGGGCTCATTCACCTGCACATCTACAATGTGATATATGCCAGCAATGCCCCTCTGCCATGTACATTGGCCAAACCGGACAGTCTCTACGCAAAAGAATAAATGGACACAAATCAGATGTCAAGAATTATAACCTTCAAAAACTAGTCGGAGAACACTTGAATCTCCCTGGACACTCAATAACCGACTTAAAAGTGGCAATTCTTCAACAAAAAAACTTCAAAAGCACACTCCATCGTGAAACTGCAGAACTGGAATTAATTTGCAGACTGGACACCATCAAATTAGGCCTGAATAAAAACTGGAAGTGGATGGGTCACTACAAAAACTAATTTCCCCATACTAATTTTCCCCTACTGTTACTCACACTTTCTTGTCAACTGTTTGAAATGGGCCACCCTGATTACATTAGCCTCATTACCACTACAAAAGTGATTTTCCTCCCTTGGTATTCTACTGTTGAGAATAGCCCACTTCCACTTTAATTGAATTGTCTCATTAGCACTGACCTCCCCATTGGTAAGGCAACTCCCATCTTTTCATGTACTGTGTATATATACCTGTCACTCCATGCATCTGATGAAGTGGGTTTTAGCCCACGGAAGCTTATGCCCAAATAAATTTGTTAGTCTCTAAGGTGCCACAAGTACTCCTTGTTGTTTTTACATATATGTTTGTGTGTGTATATATATGTGTGTATATATATGTTTGTGTGTGTATATATACACACACAATCACTACAAAAGAAAGAATTTGCCTAGCAATTTACAAAGAAGAGAGTTTAGTTTCCTACATTGCAGTAGATAGTAATAACACATACCAGGATTAGGGCCCTGATTCAGCAAAGCACTTAATCACGAACTCAAGCACATGCTTATGCGCTTTATTGTAGTGGTCATCAATGAATGAAATTATTTACACAGATACCGATGTTTGAGACAGCAGAAAGGGAACTCTGGCTGCAGGAGGAACAGCTTCATCCTTAACATCCAAAACTGTTACACATATAGAGATACATACAGATTTCAGCTGTTGTAAATCACTGTAGCCCCAGTGAGGTCATTGGAGCTATGCTAATTTACACCAGGTGACAATCTAGATCATAAATGAAAACATTTTAGAGATTTTAGGTGTCAAACAATCAAAAAGTTCACTGATTGGAGGCTAATATAATATATATTATTTTTTCAGTATTATCAAAGCAATGACTAAAAAACAAGTTATCTTTGTGTTTAGGCTTTGTGGAGAAGATGCTTCCACTTATACGGTACATATTTTCATGTAAAGTAGAACTAATTTTTGTATCTCCTGTACTAAATTTCTTAACACATTCACTGAGGTAGATATATTATCAAGTTACTTTTCCGTATGATTTAATGCACTGACAACAGTCTCTAAAGAAAATTCAGATGGCAGAAAAGCAGTTTCACAAGACCATTATCTTTTGATTACAAAACTTCAAAGTGTTTCCCAAACCAGCTGATGAAGTAAATAATTGCTCATCCTGTATATTACTACTGCCACCCTGGATCTCTATAGGGGACTAAAGGGAAACAGAATTTTTCTTGGTGTGAGGTTTATGAGCAGCAAAATATTTGTCTCATGCTTAGGCAGAAATGAATCACTGGAGAAACTGTTTACCATTCATTTTTCTTTTATTGTTCCCAGGCATTTATTCCTTACATTTCTTCCTTTTTCCACTGTTTTTTTTAAGGGAAGCAAAATATAATAAAAGTCCAAGCAAAAATATAAAATTCTAAGATCTAATAGACTGTGATAAAAACAGACTAACCTCTATTTAAAACTCTCTCTCAAACCTTATGGAGATATGTCATGGGGACTGAAACAAAAATCATGCCTTAACTGTAACAATACATAAATATAATAGTACTGTTGTATGAGCCCATTCCATTGTTTATTGCATAAAATGCTTTAAAAAGTGCATATTTATATGATAGTATGATAGAGTGTCACATGCTGGGACTCTGTACAGAAATGCAGAATTATTTCTACTAAGTCACTCTCACTGTCAGACCCAGTGGTTCCTATTAGCTCCAACCCAGGAATATAAAAAGCTTAGCATTACTCTCTAAGGCAGAGAGACCTGTGTGCAAAGACAGAGAGATCAAGGAGGAAAAAACCCTAGGAAAAGATAAGCTCAAGAAAAAAGCTTAGGTTGGAGTTTGTATTTTATTGTTCTGATATTAAGAATAAAGGAAATCCCCTGATAGGGGGTGAATTTGGGACACTAACCCAGGGTGCATGTATATATGTATGCAGGGCCGGCGCAACCCATTAGGCGACCTAGGCAGTCGCCTAGGGCGCTAACATTTGGGGGGCGGCGACCGCAGTGGCCGGATCTTCGGCCGCCCCGGTCGTCAGCGGTATTTCGGGGGCGGAACCTTCCGCCGCCTCTGTCGGGGGCGGCAATTCGGGGGCGGGACCTTCCGCCGCCTCTGTCAGGGGCGGCATTTCGGGGGCGGGACCTTCTGCTGCCTAGGGTGGCAAAAAAGCTGGCGGCGCTCCTGTATGTATGTTCTCCGCTGAGAGCAGTGTGGGAATTCATTCGAGTCACAAATAGCCTTTAAAGGACTCCCCTTCTTCACCAAGGCAATGGATGGGGCCAGTGGCAGCAGCAAGTCACTGTAGGGTAACAGAGCTGGTGGGAAGTAACAAAAACATCCTTTTTATTTAAAAAAGTGTGTGTGTGTATGTATGTGTGTTTATATGTGCTTACATAACATAAACCATCAATTTAATTTTTGCAGAAAGGTGCTGAATTAATCTTGGAGACCAAAGACTTTTGTCTGTTTCTCCACAGAACAGGTCCAGGACAGGCAGCAATATTGTAAGCTCCCTAATACTGCTCCACCAACATATTACAAACCTGAACTTAGGGTCTGACTTCTAGTGTAAGAGGATAGTTCAATTTCTATAACCTTAGTCCCTCTGCTGTTATTGTCAACAAGTGCTCCCGTTGTGGTGTATCCTCTTGTCCACTGAGAACTGGACTGAGACCACCAGATTCACATCATGTAAACTGGTGGTTCTCAACCTGTGAGCTGGGGGCCGCTGGCAGCCCAATCAGCACACAGCTGTGGCCCATGTGACATCTTCAGGGCCATACAGGTAGTATATATATTGAGTGGATGCAGCCCACTTAACACACACAGAGCTGCATATGCAGCCCACAGTGGTAAGTAGGTTGAGAACCACTGATTAGACTATCAAAAAGCTAACCAATATTAAAAGCTTTCAGTCACTGTGGGTTGTGTGACGTAGAGGTTCAGAACAGTGTTTTAAAATAGACATTGTCTTTTAGTAAATTTGTTCACTCCGTTTCACACACACATAAACATTTTGTTTTAGAAACAAGATGGAAAGATCACAAGAAATGAGCTTCGTCGTGTTTTGAACTGCATCTTATTTCAAATAAGAGACAAGGACTTCCAAGACCTAATCAAGATAATTGATCCAGAACACACTGGGTACCTCAGCTACCATACATTTTTAGACTTGTTTGAAGAAAAGGAATCTCTAGTAAGTGTTTATCAATACTTTTCTAAGGATTTTCTTTTTTATAATGTCTTTAGCAAGGTGTCAGGACAATTCTTAATAAAACCCTAAGCTCTGAATAATCTTCATCTAAGTTAGTGAATGCATATGCTTTTCAGCAGTGTAAAACTCCTACATAATTCACACTCTTGGATTCTTTTGCCTCTGAAGCATGGGTTGAGAACCAATTTCACAGTTACCTCAAGTTTCTGGAAACTCCCCCTGGAATGTAATCACAAGTTCATGTACATGTGTGTAGCAGGTGTGGGATGGAAGTATCTCTTTCCAGCTTTCAGTCGTCAAAACTGTTTTGCAGATATTTTGCAGAAGAGCTCTTTCTATCTATTTATACTAGATAATAATACATAGGTTCTGAGATTTCCAATACCCATTGATTGTGTGTTTTCATGAGTATGACTTTGAAATTTTTGGAGTTTTGTAGTCATCTTTTAATATCTTCCTTTAGAACCACTACCATACATATAGTGAGGTTATATCCTGTATCTTTTGACTGGAATATCTAGTCAGTATGTCAGTTTCTTTTTGGGCTTACTGAATTATTCTCAGAAGTAGTCTAATCTATAGTTTTCATAACTGCTTTATTATATTAGAGCTGTTCATAATATTTTTATTAGATCACTTTTAGGTTCACATTTATTCATCTGAATAAATCTTTATTTAGTTTTTGTCTTAAGCTGGTGTAGTTAGTGTCATTGGAAAGAATCAAAGAACCTGGCAGTGTCAAGAGATGCACTAGATGCACAAAAAGAGGTTCCTACTGAATAGTCTTGAATGGTGTGTATTGCTTTGAGAAAAGCTTTGATGTAGAACTGAAATAGACGGCATCCTGTTCTGATGGCTCCAACAATAGATACATTTGATTCATCCGTTCATGTCCCTTCTACCTATTCTTGAATTGAATAATAGTTGTGCTGAGCGTCTGGGACACATTTTTATAATTATAAAACTGACATGTCGGAGGGGAAAAATATAAATACTGTCAAAGTACAAATACTAATGGGTTATGCAAATGAATTTGGATGCTCAAATTAACTTATTTGGGTTCATTTTAGAGTTGAAATTCTACTGCCTACTTAGTGTTCTAAATAAAGTAAATTTTAGCATAAAGAAGGGCAGGCTAGAGAAACAGAGAGCAACAGGGATCATGGCCACCCTGGGATAAGATACCAGCTGATAACCATGCTAGTTAGGACTTCACACTTGAAGTGTGATTCTGCTCTGAAGAGTGGGCCAGATTCTGACCTCTGTTGTGTCAATCTGTTGGTGCAAAGCAGCTGCAAAGCCAGTCTAGCCAAATACAAAGGCTCCACCCACTCATTCCCTAGGTGATATAAAGCTGGCATAGTTGGCTCTGTAACACTCTGTCCTGCCCACTCTGTGGCATAGGGGAATTCTTTGGGGGCAGACCCAAAGGGAGGGGAGTTTTTCTAGAATGCTGTGGTGCTCTATCATTCTCTGGCTGAGGGAATGGCCCCATGGGAACTGTTGCAGCCAGATGAAAGTCAAAGCAGCTCTGAGGCAGATGCTAGTAGTGCTGGGAACCAAGTTGGTCCCCAACTAGCCAAACCAGCTCCTCGCTGGCCCCAGGACTGGGGTATCTGAAAATGACATAAAGGCACCTTTGTCTCCCCTTGGATTTTGCACTGAACAGAGCTCAGCTGGATCTGAGTATTGACCCCAGTTACTCTGGAAAAATAAGGTTCCATGTGTCTGTTGCATCTCAGTAGTTCTTGTATTAAATGTACTCAGTTTACAAGTAAAAAGATGCTTTTATTTTAACTGCCAGTGCCACAAACTGAACCTGATCTATGTTCTGGGAACCAGATTCTGCGCTCACATTCACCTGTGCCATCCCATTGTCTTCAAATTATTCCCTCAGAGACAGCTATCCAACTTGCAGCTCATCTGTCAGTCTTAGCGACTTTTGCTTTGGAGAGTAACCAGCAGTAATATGTTGTTTTGTTATCAAAGTCAGTAGCTGTAACTTTTAATTCACAGAAGGAGCAGATCAGTGTAGTAAAGTGCCATTTTTGCATAGTCACTTTTCAGATTAGAGCCACACTTTCAAACAGAACCCTGAGAATATATGTATTGGCTGACATTGTACACTACTTAGGAAACAGTGTGCTAAGAAGTTTTAACACAAATAACTTTTTTTTTTTAAATTAGATGGGTCATAAATGGCTTAATGGAACAAAGGAAGTTAAGAAGCCACCTTCTCTTGTTCTAGCTTGGGATACTGTAAGTAATAATGAGGTTTATCTTCAGTAAGTGTTGATTTTCTGTAATTAAGGGGTTTATTTAATTTTTACTATATGATTACTGACATATGGCAATGTAACGTCACAGACATTTTTTATTTCAGTGACTGATATATTTGCATTTTAGGTGGAAGACATTCTTTCGGATAAAATCACGGAAAATTGGAAAGACTTCCACAAGGCTTTGAAGACCTGTGACCCTAAATGTACAGGCATTATTAGCAGAAATCAGCTAAAAAAAATTGTACATATATATTGTCCCTCTTTGTCCAATGAACAATTTACAAAGTAAGCTGCTGGCATCTGACTATTAATTTATGTAACTTTATTAACTTTCTCTCCATATGTTTCTAAAAAAGTGGTGTTTTGAATCTTGGGATACTTCAATTTGCCTTAAGCTTTAGAGAAAATAAAATGCCACCAGGCCAATCAGTAACCCCTATTCTGCAAGTGATCAGATTGCAGATCTCCTCTTTATTTCCGTAGAAGTTCCATTAATGAAACACTGGCAAGATTGGGGCCATACGGTTCAAAGGATAATTTAAAAAGGTAAAACAAGCCCATTCCTCAAAGTGAAAATTGGGTGTGATGGAAAATTTATCTTTAAAAAAAAGTATTCACTGTTTCAAATGGAAATTAATATAACTACCCACATTATCTTGTTGTAATATTCTACAGTAGTATCTTGTAATGAACAATTTGAGTGCCTTGATTTTAGGAGAACCCTTGTAAACTGGGACATGACATAGTCAACTCTCATTTTGATCATTGCCCAATTGATAACTACATCTCAATCTAAAAAACGATGAACATCCCAAATCACATATGTGTATGGAATCAAAATCTATATCTTGTAAAAGAGGAGTGAATTGTATTAGGCATTTTATTGCCGTGGCATGTCAGTCAGGCTATAATTGGCTCTAATTTGCTCTCCTACAAGCTGTAACATTCTTTACGTGCAGCCCTGTGATTCTCCAAAAGATGTGGGATTCTTTCCTACCTTTCAAAACATCATAGGAAAATCAAAGAAATCCGTGCCAGCCTGAACCTTGTGACCCAGTGTCCTGATGATCAGTATAAGTGAGGAGCAAACACAACAGCATGAATAGGAAATGGCTTTTAGAAAATAATTTTGATCTTGAAATATGAACGAGTACAAGTGTGATCACTGAGATAAAATTCCACTGCATCCATTTTCCTTTCTGTGAATTTTGTAGAGAAAACTTTGGGTGCCAGGCATGGGGTTAATAAGAGTCAGGCACCTAATTCCCTGAACACTGTATTAAAAATATAACCTTTTTGTCATCAGTCAGTTTTATGGCTCAGTGTTGTATAATATATACAGATTGATCACTGATCATGAGCAATTACTTATCCTTCGAGTATTGGATAACTGGCTCTCATCATTCACACACTTCTCCAGATAATGTTTTTACCATTATTTTCAACCATTATTTGTGACAATGGGAGAGCTGTGCTCAGGGTGGAGTCCAGAATTACAACCAATTTAAATTCTAAAATGATTTCTACTTGAAGTTTCAACATCTTGTATCAGAAAATGATGTTGGGGAGGGAAAGCCCAGAAAAGAAAACCAGGAAAAAAAAATCATTAGGGTCTAATCCACCACCATTGCAGTCAATAGATATTTTGCCAGTGTCTTCAGTGGATACAGGACTTAGCCCTCAATGATTCATTCTGAAAGGTGCTGAGCACTAAGACTATGATCCAACAATGCACATAAAAGCGTTTTAGTATGGTATCAGTCCCATTCCAGGGGACTACTTACATACTCAGAGGATGGTGTTGCTAACATGGCCTAAATTGAGCACATGCTTATGTGCTTGTTGGATTGGGGCTAGAATGCTCAGAGCTTTGCAAGATCAGACTTTCTAGAAGCATTAGATGGGATGATTTTGCAATGACCTGATAGGAGCTGACGCAACACGACACAATGTATACCTGACAACAGTGTTTGACTTCCATTGTGGCGGGCATTCATGAGGCCTTTGTAGAATCTGTATAAATTCCACTTTCTAAGGATATTCAGTTGTACTAGCTATGGATAGTTTAAATATATTTGTGCAGCAAACATAGGCATGGAGCATAGGGTGACCAGATTTCCCATTTTTATAGGGACAGTCCCATTTTTGGGGATTTTTTCTTATATAGGCGCCTATTACCCCCCACCCCCATCCCGTTTTTTCACAGTTGCTGTCTGGTCACCCTAATGGAGCATGAACTCTCACTCAGCCCACACTTTGGTCCTGGTTCTGGAAAGCATCTCTATTCAGGACAGCACTTAAGCACATGCTTGAGGGCTATCCGGAATCAGGGCCTTTGCTGAGATGTATATGTCCAGGTGCACCTCATCACACCAAAGAAGAAATTCAATTCTGAGGTTAAAATGAATGCATGTTTTATATTCAACAAGGTATTATTGCTATTGATGACTTATTTGATTGGGTTTTGTTTGTTTGTCTGTTTTAAGGGCTAAATAAGAAATGGGGATTGATTAAATTTGAAATCCATAGATGAAAACTTCCTTGGCAAATAATTTGCTATTCATCTTGTATTCTACCAGACGTGGGCCTTATTCTTTAAAAAAAGATGCTTTTACTCACATCAGGCCACCAGTACACACATTTTTCAAATGGGGATTTAAGACCATCCTGGGAAAATATTGTGGGAAAAGATTATGCATAGAAACAGTGGATGGCACTGTTCATTCACAGCTCTAAAGAGGTTAGGGATGCAGTATTTTAAAATAATAAGTAAAATATAATTGACTCTTCTAAACATGCACAAATTGGACATATGACTGTCAAATCTGTGTCAGAGTTGTCATAACCAGACTGGGGATTTAACTCAGATGCTTTGGGGATGTTGCATTACACAAGGGTTTTGAGCAAGGGTGATGAAGAGAATAAATTACATTCTGAATTCCAGTGTTTCGGCCACATCAGTCTTATTGATTTTAAATGATACTTCTGCTGTTGGGGGCTTCAGTTATAATTGGGCTTTTGGCACTGATGTGACTCATCCTGAGGCACTTGAGGACAATGCTGCTTTTACTGAGGCAGAATGGTTGGCATGCCTGTCCCAGATGGCTTCTTGTGAGTTGACATTCAGACTGAGGAAGAGAAGGGACAATTTTTAAGGACATTTGGAAGCCTTTTGTAGATTACATTTCCAAGGCAGATGTGGTTCCTTAGTGTTTGTGTCTGAGTTCCATTTTCTATGTGCAGGATGAACTTATTTGGATGGAGCTGGTTGGATGGTGTTACAACATGGTGACTCCCTTTTCTCTCCATGATCCTCCCACTCCCCCCACTCCTGTTATTGGTTTAGGGTAGCAGATTAGATTTATTAAAATAAAAAAATGTTTTGATTGGATTTATCACAAAGAGAGTGCTTGCTTGAGGGGGTGTTATATCTTAAGTTACAAGTCATTTTGTATCACAGGTTTGTTGGTTTGGTTTTAAATAAAAGTCTAAATGGGGGAAAATAACTATTTTGTAGACTAAACAGAATGCTGTGGATTCACAGTATAGTACACTTTCATTCCCTTCCATTCTTTCATCTAAGAATCCCCAAAAGCTTTACAGACATGAATTGTCTCATAAAGCTAAATTGAGCTCTGTGAGCTGGGTATTAGTTTCCCCATTTCACAGATGAATAAAATTGAAGCACAGAGAGATCACCCCGTGAGTCAATGGCAGAGTGACCCCAGTCTCCTTCTCTAACCACTGGACACACACTGCCTCTATCTAGGAAGGAAGCTCATTATTTTGATAATCTTTGCCTTAAAATATGCATGTTGTGCCTTACTCTCAACTGTGCACATTAATTTCAATTCTTTATTTTATCTAGACTATGCCATAAATTTCAAGATATTTCTCCTGATGGGATCCTTTACAGGATGCTTTTGGAGAGTTTAGGAGTTGCTGTTTTACCGGGTGACTTAACTGGTATCAGCACACAGATCTCAAAGGGAAGTCAACAGAGAGAAGAAAAAAGACAAACAGATCTTTCAGAGAGGTACTGTGCAATGCTTTATTAATACAGATGATTCCCTATTAAAATTTAAAACTTGAAACTTCCAAAAAGACTGAGCATTTGCTCTATATGTCAAATGCTAAGTGTTGTCTTATGCAGAGCTCTGGGTCTATGCATAATCCCTAAGTAATCTGACCTCAAAGTATTGCATCAGAATAGCAAATATATGGTTTATTCATCAAAATCTTTTGGACTCAAGTAAGAACTGTTGAACTTACTTCACATATTACAAAAGGGGTACATCCCACCAAGTCATCAGGGACTTTGCTGATAAGCAAGGCTCTCGGGGTTGGTTTGTTTTTTCTAGACAGCATCTAAGGTATAGACTATGAATCTCTATGGAATCATTGAGACTTCATCTTTTGCGGTTGAGCATTCTCAGAGCTCCACAAATCAAGACTGATTTGATTCTGATTGCTGTAGCTTCTGTGTGCAAGGCTTCTCAGTCTATAGCATCATTTCATGCCTTTTTGCACTCAAGCTACAAGGATATTTGAGTCATCGATTCAACTTCTCTTCATTTACTTGAAGCTTTGGTCTATGTGGAAATACCTGTATAAGAGCCAGTAAAATCTTCCATAGTGGGGTGGGGTATATTTTTCCACCAAAAAATGTGGGTTCAGCCTAAAAACTGTGAAAACTTCTGAGATCTTGCACAGAACTCCAGGTTCCTTGGTCCTCCACACTGGTAACACAACTCCAATGGGCTCCCTAAATGTTGCTAATCCCTAGGCTATATCCCTTAAAGGGGGTTCACCAGCAAGGAAGGAGTACGGGAAAGTTCATTCAGATTATGGCTATTCCATTGGGTGTCAGTGGGGACAATGCTTGCTTTTCTCCAGCCCTGTCTGGTAAGTACAGTGAGCCATTCCTAGGGTTTGGGGAAAACAAGACATGCTGGAAGCAGTGTGGCTCTGTGGAAAAGGTGCAATCCTGGAATTTAGGAAAGCTGAATTCTAGTCCTGGTGGTGGATGAAAAGCAAAGATTATAGAGTACAGCGTCAGAAAGCCTTGCTTATCAGCAAAGTCAGTCATCTTTACTTTCATCATTATGCATTTCAGAATTTCAAACATGTTAGATTTAATTTTCTATGTGAACTACTAGTGATACTTTATTTAAAAGCAGTTAATGAAAGTGTTTCATTAAAATATTTTAGTGCTAGAAGTTAAAATTTTAAGGTTATTATCAAGTTAAGGGAGTACTATAAAATATACTTAATAAATCTATAAAAAAATTAGACTGCTGAATATTCTGCATTTTGCTCATACAGAAATATATGCCTTCAGACTTAACAAAAATAATTGTGTTAACTTACTTTTTCATGGACAATAGTAAATCCATAACAAATGTGAAATGGATGCAACCGGGACATATTACACACACTTTTATTGTACATCTTCTCTATCTTCAAAAGTTATTGCATATTTAATCATGAGTTATTTTAATGGTTTGCTGACGAAGATTGTAGTATTTCAAAGGGAGGGTTATATATTCTATGTCTGGGGATTTTTCTTTTAAGGACTGAGAAAGGATATGCTAATCCACTCATTGCACATAAAGGAAAAAAAGTGGAAGTTGCTTATTTGGGTTACTAGGAGTGGGAAGCTGTGAATCATGATGTTATATGACTATGTCCTATGGGCAGATATACAGAATATTACTGATGCCATTTCCAAAGGCCACCAATTGTTACACCTTTCCAGCAGGTGGTAAGACGACATTAGCCTGATTCATCTCCCTTTAAAGTCAATCAGACTTTTTTTGGCATTGGGTTGGGTCCCATGATGGTGGTTAAAAATGTTAATGGGTAAAAGTGGCTCCCCAGAGGTTGGGAAATCGGAAGATCCAAAATGAACTGGTAATCAGCTCCCATATTTAGATGTGAGTGGTCTCCAATTCAAAAATAAATAGCCTGTGGCAATATCATGCAATCAGTTTTTACAAACATCAGTTTAAACACGGGTTTCTGCTTAACAACTGATTGCACAATATGGCCCTTGGAATCTGCATGGGCCTTAATTTGTACTCACTATAACTTTGTTTAGGCACAAAAAGAATATTTCTGGTGTTATTGTCCTGTTTATTGTTAAAATAATCCAGTTAATTATTGAATCAAATGTTTTAAAGTAGAAAACACAAGTGACTTGTTTTCATGTGCAATCTTTCAATTTTAGAATGAAACAGATTGAAGATCAAGCCAATAAGCATACCAAGAATAGAACTGTTGATGAAGTAATTGAAAGGCTCAAGGACAGTGTGATACAACAGGAAGCAACTATTAAAGACAGCTTTCTTGCCTACAACAAGCAACCAAATGGAAAAATTAGTAAAGATGATTTCCGGAAGGTAGGGGAAATGCTAGGTGTTTTTCTTTATCTTTTTGTTTTTCCTGGAAGGTGGTTTATCGTTTTATAGTGGTGCCTATTCACACACCTACAGCCAAGTCTCCAGGGCTGTTTCAGTCATTAATGAGCTGGAGCATGCTCACATGAGTGCCTTGTTAATAGCATAAAGAAGAATCAGCTTTCATTTCGAAAGAAAAAAAAGTCAATTTCTAGTTCCTTTTCTTGCAGAGATTGCCTGGAAAACCCAAACTGATTTCTAATGTCAAAAAGAACATGCTGCTAGACTCCATCTCTGCAGCAGGTGGCTGGGGAATTTATAGAACCAGACTCCAACCTACCACACACCTTCTCTGTAAAATGAGTTACATCTGAGGTGCATCCCCAAATTTTTTTTTAGTTAGCCGTCACCAAAATCCTTATGCCCCATGCATTGTGGTGGGAACACATCACAGCTGAGAGAAATTGAGTACCTTTGGGTGGAGAAAGGCAGCAAAACATTGTTTGCAGGCAAACCAAAAATTCCAGTGCTGGTCCTGCTTGTTAAAATTTTAATCCTCTCCGAAGTGAAGACCAAGCTGGCTGCTGGTCATTCAGGCCACTGCTATGTGTCAATAGCAAAAAGCATTGTATAAGTACATTAAGCACATAAAACAATTCTATGGTTATAGAAGCTGAAGTCCCTTCTCATCTTCAAGTCAGGTTTGAACATTAATGAAGTGATCCAGGAATCTTGCACAGTTGCTTCCTGTGCTATTCCATTCACGATCATAGTACTCCAAGTATTAGTGCTGTGAAAATATATATTTAAATTGGGTATGCAGATTCTAAAATACTGTGGCTGAAAGGCTTAATGAGCCTTAATTGAGGCTTAATTGATAAACACCATATATATACAGTAATGTACTGATTATTAATCTGAATAAAAATGTAGGGTGAGATTTTGTGCTGTACCACTGAGAGGCTTTAGGGAGGGCGGACAAAGATGGCTTTATGCCACCTTTGAACTCTTCACATGCAGGGCTGGCTTGGGAGACAAAACAGCCACCAGCGCAACAGCCAGCCAGTGGGTTGCTCTAAGTTACAATAGCCTGTTCTGAACTGCCCATGGCTAGCAGTGCTGCCTGAATCCTCATAGCTCTGTGGCCCCACTCCCTCCTGCTCCTGACTTTGTCCTAGCATGCCACTGCTCTGAGACTTGCACATGCAGTGCCTGTGTTGCAGGAATTTCCCCCCGGCTAACTAAGGACCTTTTAGGCCATATAAAGGCCTTAGAAGGAGGGGAGAATCTCTCCTGTAGTGTGCACTTAAAAACTGACTTTAGTTAATCAGATTTTATTGTGCTCACCACAGTGACTAATATGCTCCTGTGATTATTAGATTTTTTGGCAGTTTTTGATAGTGTGGATCAGCAGACCTGGGTACAGCACTTGGGTGCTAGAGGATTAATACGACTGGGGCTATCTTGAACTGATTTAGTTTTTTACCTGTGAGTGCTCCCAGTTGGTTTTGCTTGGTGAATTTTCAGTACTAATAGGATTGTATGTGATGTTCTTCAGGGCCTGTTGTAGCTGGGATTACTTGTCACTCCCTGTATGTTGCCTCTTGAAGAGATTTAGGACTGATATGAATTTGCAGTGGTGCAGATTTTCATTCTCTCCAGAATTAAAGAGAAAAAGTATTGCCAAAGTTTGCTGTTGGGTGGCTAGAAACTGGCTGAGATTAAATACCAGCAAAATGGAAATTATCTTGGTTGGGTCAGACAGGAGAAATTATGGGAGAGGCATTCCCTTGGGCCTCCTTCAATTAGAAGGGGAGGTACTTCTGACTGCTAGTGTGGGCAGAGTCTGCACATTGTCTTTATCCAGATGCTGATTTGGAAGAGCAGGGGGAGATAGCTGTGGTGAAAACAGGATTTACCATGTCAGTGAGACCTTTAAAAAATAGCAGCACAGCTCCCTTAGGACTTCTTATGAGACTAGGTTTACCTTGTTTTGCCAGTAAAAATTTCATCTCTCATCAGTGTGCCGAATGCTGTGCACTTCTTCATCTGGCTGCTCTCCTCCTCCCAGTGGTGGATGTATTTCTGTGATTCTATGTGTGCATTGCAGAAGTGCTCTGAAATGACAGGTGCTAAGTAATTGTAAAATGTTATTTCTTTGTCTTATTGTTAATAATAATAATAATAATTAATAATTAATGCATGTATTAAGAATAAAATTGCAGCCTTGCCTCCCACATGCTGATCTGTGCTACATACCTTTGGGACATTGGCTTTGGATTACTGCAGTGTGTTCTACAATGTGGTACCTAAAAGGCTTATTTTGTTGCCTGGAGCTAATGCAGCAGCATGATTAACATTACTGGTAGGCAGAGGGAACTCCACCTACCTGCTGCTTTTTTCTTTGCATTAGCTGTCTGTGTGAAAGTTGGATTTAAGGTTTTGGTATAACACTGAAAGCCCTTAACTGACTGTTTTACTAACCTCACTGTTCCTCTGACACCCTACAGATTACGTATGCCTCTTTTAAGGGTTGTTAGTACACAAAGAATAAAGAACAAAAATAATCATATATCTGCAGCCATTTGTGCTACCATCAGATCTCATAAGCTAGGCAGATTCAGGCTTCATGAATATTTGGATGGTATATTTGGAACTCTCACCTGCTGAAGGATGTGGTTCCTCTTATTAAATTTATATCTAATTACTATAATTTCAACTCTATATAAACCATGGTTACCATAAATATAAAGAGAAGAGGTAAATGTTCAGACCTATCCAAATTTAGCCATGTAATCAAAACCCCATACAGTCCTTTGAAAATGTACACCAAGGAGCCCAGACATTTATTTGAAAGGATGGCATGTAAGAAACAAACATTTTCTTATTTCCCTTTTGTTTTGTTTTTTTCACTTTGACAGGTGTTGGAAGATCATGGGATGCCAATGGATGATAGCCAGTTTAATCTACTGACTGAGAAATTAGGATTCCCAAATGGAGGGCTGAGTTATCTTGATTTTGTAGCAGTATTTGAAGGTAGATGAACATTAATGACAATCTTACATAAAACAAATCTTTCATGGACTTTTCTCTCTCAATATTATAGAGGGCTGTTGTGGTCAAAGACCCCCACGCAGTCATTTTAGTTCAAAGACTCAAGCCTGAGGCCAGTTTATTGACATACATACCAGTGCACTGGGGTGCAGTCCTAAGACTGACACCCCGAGCAGCAGCTCGCAGGCTGCTTTATTTCGTCAAACCGCAAGCAAAGTACAAACAATAGTCATGAGTTAAGAAATTAGGGTTGGGGTTAGTCCCTCCCCCAAACCGCAAGTTAAGAAAGTAGGGTCGGGGTCAGTGTCCCCACCCCCCACCCCCCCCGTACCTTCCTTATTAATTTTCCGAGAAGTGGTTTTCCCCAGGGGTGGTACTTGGCACCAGTTTGGGTACATTTCTCAAGACACGTTATTTTCCGGGGTCCTTTGGTTAAAGATTAAGGGGGGGGTTCCATGGGACGCCTAAAGAGGATCTATGATTGGCTATTTTTGCAGATAGCTGGAGTCACGGAGTGGGTCACAGATGACCCAAAGGAGAAGCTCCATGAGTCAGTTTGCATTTAGCTAAAGTTACCTATTGTTTCACACAAGCGGTTATTATATTTCATCAGTCATGAACATATTTCATTAGTGCTGCTGCGGGGGCTTTTTATTCTTTCCCTCCTTGCCCCACCTTACCCCTCCCCCCTCCTCTGGACATGACACTTGACCGAGTTTGGCAGAAAACTGTGTTTTTTAGTCTAGTTCAGGCCCTGCCCTGGGCCCTGCTTTGTGTAAGGGTAGTTAGCATAACAGATCTTTGTTGGAGGGTTTATTTTGGGGCCTTCAGATTCACAGCTCTGGCTATTAAAAAGAAGGCCCCCCCCCTCTATTTCCCCACAGGGCCATTAGGTGGGTAATTGAGAAGATATAGACTGCGTTGTGGTCAGGATGCTACATATCCCTGTCACTCCTGAACCAGCCAAGCTGTTGATCATCTAACCCAGTATGTGAGTGAGATTGGAACATGAATGAGGGTGAGCTGGTTAAAGCTCAGTACAGATAGGACTGAGATGATAATTGTGGGGTGTGGAAAGCAACCAGATGAGGCTGATCTCTCCCCCTCTGATTGATTATCCATTAGTTGAGCTCAGAATCTTAAGAGCTTTAGTATTGGCACCCCAGTTGCTGTTGGATGATTTTACAGCAGTATGGTCCAAGAAGGCTTTTTTACCACTTGAGCCTGTCCAAAAGATTGCAACCGCTTCTTTCAGATATGGAACTTTGTACCATGATCCATTCCTTTGTCACTTCAGGACTGGATTACTACAATCTGCTCTACGTGGAGCTACACTTCAGGTCAACGTGAAAATGTAAACTGGTGCAAAATATAGTGGCTTGCATATTAAGTGGTGCTTCTCAGTGACAGCACACGTCCCTGGTGCTCCATGATCTGCACTGCTATCTTTTGGTTTGTGGATTGAATTGAAGGTATTGCTTTTGATTTATAAAGCCATAAATGGCTGGGGACCTTGTTACTTGAGAGACTTCCTCTCCTCTCCTGCCATAATGCCACTGTTGTGATCAGCAGAGGTGCTTCAGCTGGATCCCCCTTCATTTAAAAGAAAGGGCGCTGGAAGTAGAGCTTGCGCCATGAAAAACACTCCGCTTTGAAACAGGCTTCCCCCTGATCTGTGATAGCCGAAATCTGTTGACCTTAAGTGCATGCTGAAAGGCACATCTATATGCAGAAGCTGCTGCAGAAGGGGGCTGTTGAGGGAAATCAGAATTGTAGTAGGAAGCAGAATGTGGAGTCTGCTGGAGTTTAATTTCATTTGTTTTATTGCAGGGGTGCCCAGAATCTTGGAGAGGCAACCCTTTTTATTTGTTGTGTGCATCTCAATAAACCAGTAAAGTGTAGGCGAGGATTGTATCAGTCATTGCTTTCGGTATTACCTGATGTGGGTTATAATGTACCTCAGCTATAATAAATGTTCTCAGCTCAGGAACAAACTTTAACAAAATTTCATCTATATTTGGACTGATTTTGTATAGCTTTTGTTCTGTCCAAATTTAAAGTTTATTTTTTAATGTAAAAAGTGTGTTTATCAGTAATATTATTAATAATCATTCATTATTAGCGCCCTACCAAATTCATGGTCCATTTTGGTCAATTTCACAATCATAGGATTTTAAAAATCTTAAATTTCATGATTTCAGCTGTTTAAATCTGAAATTTCACAGTGTTGTAACTCTAGGGGTCCTAACCCCAAAGGGGATTGTGGGAGAGTCGTAGGGTTATTGTAGGGGGGTCACTGTATTGCCATCCTTCTGTGCTCCTGCCTTCAGAGCTGGGTCCTCTGCCAGCAGCCACCGCTCTCTGGCCACCCAGCTCTGAAGGCAGCGCAGAAGTAAGGGTGGCAATACTGTGACCCCCCTACAATAAATTTGCGACCCTCCCGCTGCCCTCTTTTGGGTTGGGATCCCCAGTTTGAGCAGGAGCGCCGCCAGCTTTTTTGCCGCCCTAGGCGGCGGAAGGTCCCGCCCCCGAAATGCTGCCCCTGACAGAGGCAGCGGAAGGTCCCGCCCCCGAAATGCTGCCCCTGACAGAGGCGGCGGAAGGTCCAGCCCCCGAAATACCGACGACGACCGGGGCGGCCGAAGATCCGGTTGCCGCGGTCGCGGCCTCCCAAATGTTAGTGCCCTAGGCGACCACCTGGGTCGCCTAATAGGTTGCGCCGGCCCTGAGAAACGTTGGTCTCCCCTGTGAAATCTGTATAATATATAGGGTAAAATACAAAAGACCAGATTTCACAGGGGAGACCAGATTTCATGGTCCGTGATGAGTTTTTCATGGACGTGAATTTGGTAGGGCCTTATTCATTATTATTGTAGTGCCCATAGGCACCAACTTTCACCGGCGCCAGAGGGGCTCGCGCCCCCCCCCCCACCCGGAGCACTCACAGAGTCGGCGCCTGTGGTAGTGCCTGGAAGCCCCAGGGAGGGATCAAGGTTCCACTGTGTTTGTACACAACATGTACACGGCACAAACATATCATGAGGAGATGGTTCTTGCTCCAAAGAGCTTGCAATCTAAGTAGTAATATGATGTGTCCTGCTAGGATCACTAGCTTCGCATTCTTTAACCTGATTTTTGTTGCCATTCTTGGCAATTGGCTTTTCTCAGGGAGATAGGGAAGGTGAATATCTACATACTGTAGGGATAGACTCTGTCACCCTGACAACCCCACTCCATCTGCAGTCAGATTGATTTCAGGGCAACGTGAGCAAGGGTAGCAGAATCTGGTCCTTAAGAGACAAGAAACAATCATATAGTTCATTTTCCCAGGCAACAGTTAGATCCAGGAGCAATAGGTGAAACATGAGTGTCATAGGTAATTACTCCTTCCTTCTTTCTTTTATATATTTTTGTCTTACTTTTCTGCTTTAGTTCCAGATTTTCTGGGTGAAATCCTGACCACACTGAAGTCAATGGGAGTTTTGCCATTGACTGCGGTGGGGCCTGTTTCCCCTGTATTGTGACTCTTTTGATCATTTTTCTCAAAGGTGTACAATTCTGATTTCTGCACTGCTAGCAGTTGCCATTATTTCACCTGGCTTTAGATACAGGAGAAGGGGAAGAACTGACTTGTAGCTGGCTGATGCAGTATTAAGGCATTCCTTGTATCAGCCCTAACATTCATAATTTTGACCTTGTCCAACCATCTGTCCGTCAGAACATCTTATACTGGCTCAAAGAACCTAGTAAAATATGCCTGAAAGCAAGGTAACATCTGTACGATCAAAGTAAAACTGGACATATTCGCTAGAGCAGTGATTTAATCAGGAGTATTGTGGTATTTGGTCTTTTTCTTAAGGCCCCAGTTCCTGGGAGTTGTGAGAATCTCTACTTTCATTTTTTTAAAAAGTTACCAGTCATCATAGTTGCAGAGGAAAATTACCCAGATTTTACATAGAGGTTTAAAAAACAGAAGGCAGAGAAAAAATGAATTCATTATTTTATTAAAATATGATTTTAAGTCAATCTCATGATTTTTTGGGAGAAATGATTCTTGGGTTTTGAGCACTTGCAGTTAGAAATACTATTGATATCTGGCATTATCCTACTTTCTTTATGTAAGTAAAACTCCCATTGACTTTAGTGAGATGATAACTTCAGTAGGAATGTTGCCTGAATGAATAGTGCAGGGTCAGGTCCCAAAAGACTGGATGTGTATAAAGCAGGGGGAAAGCAGGGGATAAAAATGAGAATCATAGAAATGTAGGGCTGGAAGGGACTTTGAGAGGTCCAAGTCCAAGAAACAGAAAGGGCCCACAGTGGATGGCTTTTGATGGTTTCTTTGTTTGCGGGAGGGAAGGATAGTGTTTTTGATGTTTCCGAGTTATTTTTGTCCTCATGTCTGTGTCTCAGTGGGTTAAAATACATATAGATTTTAAAAAGAAAAGAAGTACTCTGTTGGGAGGTTCTGTTTATTTAACTGATTAATAAGAAAAATTCTGAGGGGAAAAAATGTCAGGACGTACATTTTTCTGTATAAGTTTATCTCATTTTTAAAGTTCAAGTGAAACAAAAATACTTTGAAATTATAAAACATATGAGGAATTTGTTGAACATATGGATGATGATGAACCTACAGGTCTGCTACAGTATTTAATCTCCTGGGTGAACTACCTTTGTATCATTGGGTCTTCTGGTTTCGTGATTCTGAAAGGCCAAAACCTATAGGTTGTGATCCTGCAACACCCCACTTGTGTGCAATCCTTTTGACTTTAATAGGATTATTCATAGGAGTAAGGGTTAGAGGATCAGTCCCTTACTTAGGCTTATTATAGATATGCCTGTGTGTGTGTGTGTGTATATATATATATATATATCTCAACACGAACAAAAAAAATTGCAAAATTAAATTATATAAATATACGTTCAGTTATACAGAGTGTATTTATGATGACAGTGTGTATCTATATCTAGAGAGAGAGAATACATGGCAGCATGGTATGGGAAGGTTTAATTAACAAGAGTTTGTTCTCCAAAACAAGTGCCAATAAAACCTTTCCACCTCACTGCACTGCCATCTATTCTGTATATGCCACTAATGTTGCAGGAAAACTATTTTTAAAATGCTTTAGAGAGTTAAAACATGTTATTTAGACTATTTTTCATTTCCCTCTCTCGTAAACCAGATACCTTAGTTACCATGAGTCCAGCTGCACAGGGAACAGAAGGAGCTGTAATAACCTGTAACAATGACTCAAAATAGCTTTTCTATTGCCTAAAAATATCATGGCCCTTCCAGGATTTAGAAGCAAATGTAGTGTCCCGCACTAGGAAGCTGGCAATCTCCTCTTCGTGATGTTTCAGGGCTGTGAGATTATAGACATAGAAAAGCTGGCACTTGTGCAGGATTGAATCTCACCTGCCCTGGCCCTCAGATGGGGTAATTGGGGGGGGGGGGCGCGAAATTCCACAGTTGGGCTGAGAAGGAAGAAGTACTTTGCTGTCAAATTTATTTAGTTGCTCGTGGCTGTTTGAAGCTATTGAAGGTTTGGGTATGTTAGAATGACTTCAAGGGAGATGGGTTAGTGTGCAGTGAGTGAGCGGTGGTGGTACACTCGAAGATGGGTCACAAATTCATTTCTGTGGCACTGTCTGCAGCAATGCAGAACCTGTGTTCCTTCTCACGCAGGGTATGTCTAAACTGGACCTGAAAGGTGTCATTTCCATCTCAGGTAAACATACCCATGCTAGTTCCAATCGAGCTAGCATGCTGCTGAAAACAGAAGTGTAGCCGTCGCAGCAGGAGCAACTAGACAGGCTAGTCGCCCTGAATACAATCCCTTCTGAAACCCCCTAAGTATGTACTCGAGGCAGCTAGCCCTTCCCGACGCTTGCACTGCCACAGCTATACTTCTATGTTTAGCATGCTAGCTCAATCCCAGCAAGCATGACTCTGTGTACCCGAGCTGGAACCTATACCTTCCAGTGCCAGTCTAGACATACCTTCAGACAGGCAAGATGAAGACCAGTCACAGCTCTCCTGGACTCCATCCTCTCCTCCAGTTTGATACCATCCTCATTCAGAGCAACACTTAGGAACCAAAGAAGGCTAAAGTAAAAGCGAAAAACAATAACAGCAAGTTCCACCTCAACTGTGCCTTCTACACTAGAGCTTACCCACAGGGGCCTGGAGGTTTTTTTGTCATTTTGTTTTTGCTTTCACTGGAAGAAACCACTGTACCATTGAATAAAGCAGGAGCTGAGGCAATTTCTGTAAATCAGATGGACATTTACTAATACTGTATACAACTATGGAAGTATGTAATGTGTGAAGCCTAAAGAATGTGATAGGGTTTTTTAAAACAATGTATTGTATATGATAAATAAATAAGACAACTCCATTGGTCCAGTTTGTTTAATACTAAAGAAAAAGATATTCAAGTCACAGATTGCTTTACTCTGCGTTAATTATTTCAGATCCCAGATTGAATGGACCAGGAGCTACATTATATTGCAGTCCAAACCACCGAGTAAATAGCACTAAATTTCACTACATGACTGCTGAAGAATGTCTAAGTCAATTTAATGATAAACTGATGGAAGGATATGGGGTAAATAAATGCAACTGTTGATTACTTTTGACAATATAGCTAGTTATGTTAAAAATATTTGTTAAAAGGTATTTTTAAGTGGAGTTGTCAGAAAAGTGACTCTATAAAAATGATATTGGGGTTCAATGTTTATTCTCTTTCAATGACTTCCAGAGCAAACATACCGTACTCAGTTTATAATTCAAAAGCTGATTTTCTAATTGCTATCCCTGCAAACTCTTCCTGGAATCTGAAACCCAAAATATTTTTTCTAATTCTTTTATTGTCACTAGTAGTAAAGACTGTGCAACCAGAATCGGAACAGACATGTTGATGGTCCCCAAAGAACAAAGTCCAGATGAATCTTCCATATCTATATTGATTTAGCACTGCTACAAATAAAAAACTTTTTTGTTGGGAAAATAAAAGCAGTTTTTTATATACCCTCCTTTTCAGCTATAGCCACAGTTTAAGAAAATATTTATTTACATTTCAACAAAAGTAAACAGCTCTTCTGCACTTCTTAGACATGCGAGTAGCCCCGTTAGTGTGATTACTAACAGGAGAAAAGATCAGACCCATGATGCCTAAAATTTTCAATGAGCAATGCAGTGCCCTTAAGCAAGAAAGCAGATTTTTCCAGAGATGATACCAGTAAAAATCTAGAGGTCCTGGAAGAAAGCACTGGTCTCACAAGGAATTGAAATCAAACAGCTTATTATTAAAATGACATTAAAATACAAAGGTGAATTGGTGAAAAGTGCCCCTGTTGGATAGGAGCCCACCTTGCCCCATCATTATTGGCTGATGCACTGACCAGTGGCAACACAGCATTGTATCCTCTTGTTAGGACTTGATGCAATCAAGAGCTGGCTGCTGCCATGATAGGAGTGTAGGGCTATTCTTATGGCCAGCCACTGAATATAGACAGGGTATTGTGACAACAGCACAGAACTACTGGGCCAAATCAGATTTTCTGCTGATGTGTATATAGGCAAAAAACAATGGAGCTGTGCTCATTTACACCATCCTAGCATCTGTCCGACCGTCATGGTATTATTGTGGTAAGAATTACTTCCTTTTCTACATTTCCTTTTAATTGTTAAATAATTATCATTAAAATTTATCAGTTGAAATCCTAACATACACATGTATAGAATAAGAGAAATGATCATTTCTTTTAGCATTTGCAAAACAAAAGAATATTTAATCATTATGCTTTTGCTGAATTCAGTTCCATCTGTGCTCCTGGCACGACTAACACACCAATATTCAAAGATCCTATGTTTAGACCAACTAAAGCACCCCGTGGCAAGGCTGGCCATTCTTCGAGTGATTGCTCATGTGTATTCCACAATAGGTGTGTGTGCTCGCCACCTGCACTGGTACCGGAAGTTTTTCCCCTAGCAGAATCCGTAGGGGAGCGCCCCTAGCAACCACTGGAGTGGCACCTCTATGGCGCGGTATAAAGGGAGCTGCGTGCTCCCCCCACGCTCAGTTCCTTCTTGCCGCCAGTGAAGATGCATCAGAACTGCTCTGCTCCAGCTTGTCTGCAGCTTTCCTCTTGAACTCTTGTTCGTTCATAGTTAGTAGTACCTGTAGTTAAAGTAGTTTAGATTAGTTTAGTTTAGTGCGCCTGGGTCGGGGCATGCCCCGTGCCCCGTGCTTTAAGTCGTGTGACGCTTGCAGGGAGCCAATGCCAGTGAGTGACCCGCATGTGGACTGTTTACACTGTCTGGGGAAAACCCATCTCAGCGATGGCTGCAAGATTTGCAGATCTTTCAAGCCTCGGACCAAGAAAGAAAGGGACATTCGGCTTCGAGCTATTCTGATGGAGTCAGTGTTGACCCCGACTCCAGTGCGCCGCTCTGAGTCGGCGCCGGGTACCACGGTGTCGGTGCGCAGTGACCCTTCGGTGCCTTCCACCAGTCGGCACCACTCCCCATCCGCGGGGCATGCCAAAAACGCTAAGAAGAGGTCTTCTCCACCGAGGCACCAGAGGAAGACTTGGGGAGAGACTAGACCCACGTTGGGCAGTTCTCAGTCCCCGTCGGCCTCTAGGCCTCCAACTCAGGTTGAGCGCAGTAGCCCGGCCCATTCGGCGCAGGCTTCCCCGGATGTCCAGGTGCCCTCCACGCCGGGACATTATGTCTCTGCCGGTACCAGGGGCACCGCTACCGTTGGCTCCCCAGTCCAGACGCAAGCCACCACTTGGATCTCCGCAGTCACTGCCTGGTCGGTACTGTTCACGGCTGAGGGAATGTTTTCGATGCCGTTCACTGCTCAGCAACCACCCCGTGCGCAGTCCGCGCCGGTCCCCATCGACCCCCACCAGGTTGTCTGGCTGGGTTCCGACTGACAGGGGTTCCAGGCACCACTCCGCCTCAAGGGACCATAGACCTCACAAGCGGAGTGGGTCCCGTCGAGACTGAGACAGACAGCACTGGAGGTCCTCGTCTCCGAGAGGCTATCCTAGCCCGTCGCGATACGGGCGTCAATGCCATTCCCGTTCATCGTCTCGCTCCAGGACTCTGCCGTGGCACCGCTCCTGCAGTCCTGGACGTCGATCGCTGGCACCTCGCCGTCGTGGATCAGCCCGCCGGAGCCAATCGCGGAGCAGCTGCTATGTCGCGATCACGGTCTCGTGGTCAGCACCGTTCCTGACGGCACTGCTCCTCCCAGCCCAGGGACAGCAGCAGGTTGTATGCCAGCCCGGCCTCCCTTCGTAGCTGTCAGTCAATGGGACAGGCTAGTCAGGCTGAACAGCCTGCTCCGCTGGTGCCACAGCAGGTGCAGTGGCACCTGGCTCCTTGGCCGGCACCGTGGTACCAATGGACACTGTGGCCGCTGAGGCAGCCCCCAGTGGGGGCTCGCTCAGTGGCTGGAACCTCGGAGAGACCGTCGGCCTCCCTCTCCCAGCCTCCCAGAAAGGAGTCGGTGGGGCGTGCATCTTCGGTTCCGCGCCCGGAGGGCGACCAAGTGGTGGGACCTCCGGTACTGGTGGGTACGCAAAGTACCGCACCCGCTTCCTCATCCTCCCCTGATGAGGCAATTACTGCCCCTTCTTCCTCTGTTCCGCAGGAGGACTCTAAGGCCCACCAGGAACTATTGAAAAGGGTAGCATCAAGCCTCAACCTTCAGGCCGAGAAGGTGGAGGAACCCTCGGACTCCCTCTTCAATGTCCTATCGGCTTCGGTACCGGGCCCTCCCTCTCCATGAAGGGGTGGCAAAAATTTCAAATGCCTTGTGGCAAACCCCGGCTTCCTTGCCCCCCATCTCTAAGAGGGCAGAACGGAAGTACTTTGTGCCCACCAAGGGGCATGAATACCTGTACACCCACCCTGCCCCCAAATCCCTTGTGGTTGAGTCGGTCAACCACAGGGAGAGGCAGGGCCAACCAGCCCCTACTCCGAAAAATAAAGATTCAAGGAGGCTGGACTTATTTGGGAGAAAAGTTTATTCGTCCTCGAGTTTCCAGTTAAGGGTGGTGAACCATTGGGCTCTCCTGGGTCAGTATGAGTTCAATTTGTGGGGCTCTCTACCCAAATTTGAGGACTCCCTCCAGGAGCATGACAGGAAGGAGTTCAAAGCTCTGGCCTTTTACCTGGAGCGGACTAAGCCATTCAGGAGGTCTTCGTAGCTGTTCATCGCCTCGGCCGAACGCATGAGGGGTCGGCCGATCTCCACTCAGCGACTCTCCAACTGGATCACCTCTTGTATTTGTACCTGTTACGACCTGGCGGGAATCCCTCCGCTGTCTATTGTGAGGGCACACTCAAATAGGGCGCAAGCCTCGTCGGCTGCCTTTTTAGCCCATGTCCCCATTCAGGACATTTGCAGGGCTGCCACATGGTCTTCCGTTCACACATGCATCTCTCATTATGCGATCGTCTCCCAGACCAGGGAAGACGCCGAGTTCGGCAGCACTGTGCTCCATCCCGAGAGTCTGTGAACTCCTACCCACCTCCAACAGATATAGCTTGGAATCACCTATTGTGGAATACACATGAGCAATCACTCGAAGAAGAAAAGACAGTTACCTTTTCCATAACTGGTGTTCTTCAAGATGTGTTGCTCATGTCTATTCCACATCCCGCCCTCCTTCCCCTCTGTCGGAGTTGTCTGGCAAGAAGGAACTGAGGGTGGGGGGAGCGCACAGCCCCCCTTATAACGCGCCATGGCGGCGCCACTCCAGGGGTCGCTAGGTGTGCTCCCCTCCAGGTACTGCTAGGGGAAAAACTTCTGACACCGGTGCATGTGGTGAGCACGCACACCTATTGTGGAATAGGCATGAGTAACACATCTCAAAGAACACCAGTTACGGAAAAGGTAACTGTCTTTTCTATAATAAATGATTTCTGAAAACTTATCACTTTTAAATTCACTCTGATATTTTTTACCCATTTTAACAGAGGGAAACAGTTCTGGAGGGACATTCATTTTTGAAAGGTCTCTTCTCATAATAGTTTCATCTAAGTGTGTGACAAAAAAATAGAAATAAGGTGTTTTTTCATTATAGAGTTGATGGGAGCCAGGATCCAATTGGCCATATGTGTAGATGGCTTGCAGATTGGCTCCCAAGTGGTGCATCAGTTCAGTACTTATTTGTAATGAGGGGGGATAGGACTTCAGTTCATTTAGGGGCAATGATAGAATATTTTACACTAGCTTTATATGTGAAGTAGGTTGACAATGTAGAGTCTTGTAAGTAGGTGTTATATACCATCAAACTGCCTTACCATATTTTGCCTGTTGTCAAAATAAATCCGTAATGAGTATTCGGTGTTTGTATTTTGAAATGTGTAACTAATGTGTTTTATCTGAAAGTTCAAGCATTGACATTCAGTTAAATATTCTTTGTTAGGACACCTACTCTGCCTTCCGTAAAACAGATAGTAACCGTGATGGTATCATCAACATGCTTGATTTTCGACACCTCCTGGAGAGCTTTGTGTTCATCCTTACAGAAGAGGAGTACTCACGCCTACTTGGTATATTGGGCATGAACCTGAACTCTACATTAAATTACCAGGAATTCCTTCAACTGTTCCAGATCCAAGAAACAAAAGAGGCACATCCTTGGCTGAATCCATCTCACAAGTAAGAAGGACAGCAATGTTATAGTATGTATACTGGTCGTATACATTTATAGAAGTTAAAATCATAGAAATGTAGGGCTGGAGTTCTCCCTATGTGCTGAGGCAGGGCCAGATATACCTAGAGCATCCCTGACAGGCATTTGAGTAACCTTTTCTTTAAAACAGTTTGTTTAGTGTTTGTCTATCCTGTTCTTAAAAATAATGGGGATTCCACAGTCTCCCTTGGGAACCTATTCTAGTTCTTAAATATCCATATAGTTAAAAAGTTTTTCCTAATATCTAACCTAAATGTCCTTTGCTGCAGATTAAGTTAATTATTTCTTGTCTGACCTTCAGTAAGAATGGAGAACAATTGATCACTGTCCTCTTTATAACAGCTCTTAACATATTTCAAGACTGTTATCTGGCCCCCCATGCAAGTCTTCTTTTCTCAAAATGAAATATACCCATATTTTTAACCTTTCCTCATAGGTCAGGTTTTCTAAACCTTTATCGTTTTGGTTGCTGTCCTTTGGATTTTCTCCAATTTGTCTATATCTTTTTGAAAGTGTGGCACCCAAAACTGGAGCCAGTACTCCAGATGCGACCTCACCAGTGCTGAGTATAGTGGAACAATTACCTCCTCTGCATTACATATAACACTCTGGTTAATATACCCCAGAATGATATTAGCCTTTTTTGCACCCGCATCACACTGTTGACTCATATTCATTTGTGATTCACTATAATCCTCTGATCTTTTTCTGCAGTACTACTACCTAACTGGTTATTCCCCATTTTATAATTGTGCATTTGATTTTTCCTTCCTAAGTACAGTACTTTACACTTGTTTTTATTAAATTTTATCTTGTTGATTTCAGTCCCGTTCTCCAATTTATCAAGGTCATTTTGAATTCTAATCCTGTCCTCCAAAGTGCTTGCAATCCCTCCCCACTTGGTGTCATACGCAAATTTTATAAATGAACTGTCTGAGTCATTCATGAAAATTTTTAATAGTACTAGACCCAGGATAGACGCTTGCAGAACCCCACTAGTTTTATCTTCCTTGTTTGACAAGAAACCATTGATAATTATTACTATTTGAGAAAATGTAGTATGCAAGCTCCTATTAAATAGTATTGAAAAAATCAGTATATTAATATGTTCCTGACATCTGGGGTTGGTTAAGTTCTATAAAGTTCTCAGTGATTTAGGACCCAATTCAGCAAGGTACCTAAGCATGTCCTTAACATGAATTGTCCATGGGACTACTGACATGCTTAAAGTTAAGAACATACATAAGTTTCTTGCTGAACTGAGCCTTAGAGTCCAGTTACCCTAGAGGTCAGAGGCCAGATTCTGAGCTGCATCTTGTGTACATCCCAGAATAGGACAGACAGCCCAGAAGGGGCCAAAAACTCCTTTTGCCGCCCAAATTGTGTGCTGTTCCAGGGGCCAGTATGGTTCCTCGGTATATATTAGAGCAGCCTAGGGGCTGCCCCAACTTAACAGTACCTGAAATGGCTCACTATTTGACCTCCAGGCAACCATCATAGTTTGAATGCAGAGTACTCTGATCACACCTCTGTCATGCCTGTATACCAGGAACTGCTTGAGGGGATAGGCAGTAGAAGTCCACTTGGAGAATGCCATGGCTTGCCAGCCTTTTTATGCTGCCAAAGCATTGTAAATGGAATAGATCAGTTATGGCACTTTAGCTAAGTAGACAAGCTGTTTTGCAACAGCATACAAGGGCAATAGGGGAGCTACAGCAGCATCAGGAAGATGGCTTTTTCTTTTCCCCTCTGAAAAGTAATACTGTGTGTCTCAAAGATTTGGCATTTTAAAAATTTGGCTTTATGTTTAAAAATAAATAACTATCAGGCACTTAAGATTCCTTCTAAGTATTCAGTGTGAAAAGAATCCATCCTCAGTTTAGCTACACAAACAGAGATAAATTAATAAAAGTAATGACAAGACAGAGCAGAACCAAAAAATCTTCTGATCAGCAAGTCAGCTCTGCTGTGGATTTCAAAGATATGATATACACATAGGCTTACTTCCCAGTTTTAATTTGTCTGCTATAGAGTTACTGATGGTTCTGACATTACTAATATTTATCTGCCACTTTTTTTCTTAATTGTACAACTGGGAAAATCAAGGACACCATTTGAAAAGGGAAGAGGGATTCTAGGGATCATTACTGGGATTCTAGTAACAGTAGAACTCATGACAAATTAATGTTTCCCTTTCATTTCATGTCAGCACTGGAATATGTTGAGTGTAGCTAAAAGATGCTCTCGTTTTCAACAGATTAGCAACAATTATTGATTAGCAATGGAGAGCGATTCCACTTTCCTCCAGCAACTGGGTATCATCATGTATCATATGATATTACTATTTTAAAATGCCAGTTATAAAAAGTCTAACTGTTGATACAGCCTCATTAGAGAAGAGGTGAAAATACGTTGAAACTTTTCCAGTTAACTCTTTATATCATTTAATTGGTCAGTAGTTTCGCATAATGGAAATCCAGTTACCAGTGATGTGGACTAGAACGTTATATAAGTCTGTCTCTCTAAAGCTACCAACTTTGTAGATTCAGTGGGCCAGGTTCTGGTCTAAATTACTGAAGTAAATCAGGAATACCTTTATTGGAGTCACTCCAGATCTTGTGATATGTTACTAAATTGTTTTTGTTTCTAAGATAGTTAACATTTCCTTCTGGCTGGATAAATGATCCGTGTTTGCTATTAAGTCTGCAGGCAAGTTGAACAACATTGATCTGAAAATAAACAGGGAATTACAAAAATTTAAGATGTCTTCCCTAACTTGCAGCTGGGGAAATAAGGCAGTATTTAAAGAATTAAGTTTACACAGATGTGAAATGGCAGTCTTTAAGGGTTTCTTAGAAACTAAAACAAAAAAACCTCCACAAACTTGTGTGAGAGATTAAAGATTCCATTAAGTGTAAAACACAGTTAGTTATTATTTTATTTTTCTTTCTGAGACCAAAACAGACAATAACGGATGCAGAACTAGCTTGTGATCAGGCTCATTACTATCTTGTTATCAAAGCACAGACCAGATGGCATGACCTAGCAAGGGTAAGAAAAACGTTTTCATTAAATAAATAAGCTGCACTAATGGATTTTAGAACATTATGCAATGTCAATTTTCAGATTATACAAATATTCAAAAAAGGCATTTGTAAAGTAGCTCATTAATGATAAAAACTTATATGTAGAAAACTAAACTGCTGGAGTATTTGATTTTTAAAAATTTAATTATTTAGTAGTTTCTATTAGAATTGTTTCTAAAATTTTCTTTATATTACTATTGTTATTTATTATTATTTATTATTAAATATATGTATTGTAATAGTATCGAGAGGCCCCAATCATGGATCACGGGATCCATTGTGCTAGGTACTGTACATACACACAGAAAATTGCACTCACAACACAGTCCTCATTAAGGCAATTAGTTTGTGCCAAAATACCAATAATTATATAAAGAGAAACTTATAAACAATCTTAATAAAAACTAAATAATTAAAATTTCATGTATCTGAACCAATTATTGTATACTCTGAGGATAGTGGAGGGCAGTAGTCATGGATTGATGAAAGGATGACTGGGGAGAGTAAACTTTGTTATTTCATTACATTGTTATAAAATTTCAGTAAATGAGTCCATACTGCTGCTACTTAAAATTTGCAAGATGAGCATGTACAGCTGCAACTAAAGAATACTTCATATTAGTTTATGGCACAATAAGCTGGAGCCAGCATCTGCAGAATTGGACACCTCAGTGTGGATTTTCAGTCTGTACCTTCCACCTCTATGCATCAAGGGTCGTGCATACCCACACCCGTATGCACACTTTTAATGCTCAAATCCCAGTGTACACAGGTAATAGAAGTTTTATATGCAAAACACATGGCCAGCACACATATGTTTTACTTCACCAAGAGATAATCAGGCCCAAAAACTCATTCAAAATGGAATTAATCTTTGTATGTTTTTTCATTCTTCCCTAATTCCTGTTATGCCTGATGCATATAAAGAGACTATTTTGTAAAGCCTGTTTGCTCTTGTTATTAAAAGTTTCTTAAATTCTAGACTTTCCGTGAGTTTGATAGCGAAGGCAATGGCATTGTGCAGCCAGAGGATTTGAGAGCTGTATTGTTCAGATTTGCCATTCCAATCACCCCAAAAGAATTTGAAAAGCTTTGGGCAAGGTAAAGTGGCTCTAAATATTAGTTCTTCAACAACAATGTATCTATTTAACCTGACACAGGAGTCTTATTGAGGACAGTGAATTACAATTGTTTACTTTCTAAGGGAAACTTATTTTATTATGTTGATACCAGCTCACCATGATGCCGTGTTCCAAAATATGGCCTTTTATCACACCAAGATCACTATCACAATAAGGTAAATGCCTAATCAGTTCTCAATGAAGTCAGCGAGTCTAACTTCTATTGGGTTTAATTGTATTGCCTGTCCCCTTTAATTTGAGCTACCCTTTCAACTCTGATGATCACTTGGATTACAAGTGAAGTAAATTTGGTTTTCTGCTAGGACCTTATTTATATACACAGATGCCTGCCAGTTCTCCCTAGTTGGCAGTCAGTTGCAGAGAGGCTTAGGACTGGAACAGCAGGAGTGTTCCAGATCAGACTGGAAGTGCATTGGTAGAGCTTTTGAAGGAAGCTTGTCTATACTATAGGTCTGTCTGAAGTCAATGCTATCAGCTGCTTCTTTTCATGAGACTAAATTCACTCACAAAATTTTCAACTTAAATAAAAATGATTCACTGGAAAGAAATATGATATGTAGCAAACACATAACAAAGAAAAGTAAGATTGTTTCATGCTGTGTAAAAATTGTGAGTAATACCATGATACGTTTTTATAGACAAGCAATTTGTTGTGAAGGGGGAAAAAACACTAGCCCTATGTCAGGTGAGAGTAGCAGTACTATAAATTGTGTCTGAAACAGGAGAAGAATGTCAGATGCATGTGACATTGTATAAAATCCACCTTCGTTATAAGTCTTTAAAAACACAGACTCTCTATGGTATAAGGCTCAGGTGTATAGTGTCTTGGTTTCAAACTGCATTAACTATATGGTTTATTTCCTAGCACTGATTCATCTCTGAACTATTTTCTACTTCATTACATTTTACTTTCTATTCTTATTCCTTATGGATGTCATGCCACACTACAATATGTCCCTTCCATTCAGTCATCTGCTGCACAACTTCATTCCCAACCATCATGCATTTATAGGACATAAAATCTTTTATTTACCTTCTGTGACTGTATGTAGAATAAAGGAATTGGAATAACAACGAAGCCTAAATTAGGCCTTTCCCTGCATGGGTGCATTGGAGAAGGAAGGGGTTGCATGGAGCACACCTACGGCAAGGTCTCTATCCAAAAAGGCATAAACAGTTTTAATACAGTTAGGCCCAGATTTTTAAGAGTGGCCTCTAATTTTGAGTACCTCTATTTTGAGTGCCCAACTTGATATTTAGGGCCTGATATTTAGGGCCTGATTTTTAGAAGTGTCACAACTCCTATTGAAATCAGTGGTCAGCACCTCTTGAAAGTCAGCCTCTCTGTATCTCAAGTCAGACATCTAAAAATAAGGTACCATGAGGTAGAGAATATTTCAGTCAACTTGGTCCTTAGAGTAGAATTTTCAAAAGTGCCTAAGGATATGTCTACACTGGAAAAAAAAGCCCTGCGGCAGCGAGTCTCAGAGCCTGGGTCAACTGACTCGCACTCATGGGGCTCGCGCTACAGGGCTAAAAATAGCAGTGGAAACATTCTCACCTCTTGGGCTGGAGCCTGGGCTCTGAGACACACCCCACTTTCTGGATTTTACAGCCCAGGCTCTAGCCTGAGCAGGAATGTCTACACTGCCATTTTTAGTCCTGAGGCGTGAGCCCGAGACAGTTGACCCAGGCTCTGAGCCTCACTGTTGTGGGAGGTTTTTTGCAGTGTGTAGATGTACCCCAAGTCCCATTGAAAGTCACTCTTACACACTTTTGGCATGGCATCTAAAAGGACTGAAAATCAATGAGACTTTAGCAGCTAAGTGACTTAGGCATTTTGAAAAATTTATGGTAATGCCTTGCAGTGATGAATATATGAATATTTCATTTTAAAAGAATATTTCTTTTAAAAGGTATGATACAGTTGCAAAAGGCTACCTTACTCACCAAGAATTTCTGCAGAAATTGGGGTTAGAGTTTGCACCAGCTGACACTGGACTAAGCAGACATATTGTGGAAGACAATTATGCAAGTTTAATGGAGCATTACAGTAATCAGCAAAAGAAGCATTTGGAGATGGAAGAGCAGCAGAAACAGCAAACTAAAGCCCTGCATGTCAATGAGATTAAAAAGCAGATCAAGTAAGTTATTTATCAGTTAAGTGAATAACTTTCATGCTGTGTTTATTGTTACTGTGGTAAAACGTAATGCTAAGCATACATATATGTATTTACAATCCTTCTCTGAAGATAAATCCTACTAGATACTGGGCCAAATTTATACCCAGTGTAACTCCATTGATTTCAGTGGGGATAAATTTGACTCATTCAGTTGTTTGAGGCAATTCTAAAATATTCTCCCTGGCAGTATATCATTCATTTTGTAGAATTTATGGCCCCAATCCTGGGCTGTGTCAGAGCTACTATTGACAGAGATTGGGGGAGAAGAGCAAAGGTAGCTTTAAGCCAAGCCTCCTTTGCAGTTCTCTGATCCTAGAGGTGGCTGGGACTAGGTTGGTCCCAGTAAAAATTAGAGCAGCTACCCAGCTGTATCTGACCCAAAGGGGCATTTCTGGTAGCTGGGATCAGTGCGGCATGAGGACACCTTAGTCACACACCCTTCCCGATTAATGCATGGAGGTGGGTGGAAAGCATAAGAGCTGCTATGCTACTGGGAATCCTCCACCAGACTCGTCACCACTGGCAAATTTAAAATCAAGATTAGATGTTTTCCTAGAAGATCTGCTCTAGCAATTATTCTAGGGATGTTCTATGGCCTGTGTTACACAGGAGGATGATCACAGTCATCCCTTCTGGCCTTGGAATCTATACATTTGTTAAAATAAAATTATGGCAGGGTTGTGTCTCTGGAGCAGCCACAAAAAAACGCCATAGCCGGGGCCAAAATGTGGTCCTATATAAGAGAAGCAAACAACAAACATCTTGCCTCTAAACTGGTGGAGTCCCCACTTAATTTCTATCAAACTCTATATTCTCAGAGATAAGACATCTGTCCTGGGAGATCTGGCCAACAAACAAAAAGGGAAAGCAAATGGATGCCATCTTCTCTGGTTTGACTGCTTGGAGGATTCCATTATTGCAGACTAAGTCTTTTCCTCTGGGCTGCTGCTCCTAAGGCTATGTATGCACTACAGCTTACCTCAGTAGAAGTTATGTCACTCAGGGGTGTAAATAAGCCACCCCCCTGAGCGATGTAAGTTACACCCACCTCAGCGCCTGTGTGGACAGTGCTATGTTAGCAGGAGAGCTACTGCTGCTTGCAGGGGCTGAAGTAATTAAGTCATGAGAGAGCTCTCTCCTGTCGGCTTAGAGTGTCTGCACTAGTAGTGCTACAGCGGTGCAGCTGCATCAGCGCACTGTGCTGCTGCAAGCTCTATAGTGTAGCCATAGCCTAAGTTTCCTTTATTGCCACCTAACTCTGCTCCGGACTCCTTCTCTCAGGACAAGACCATCTCAGGTTTTAGCTCTCTCTCCTAGAGGAAGCTATTCCCATCTCCCTTGGACTCAGAGGAGAATCTAATGATCCCACTTTGCCCCAATGAGTCTGAAGGAATTAACCTGCAGCTCCCTGTAGAGTTCCAGTACTGTTAACAGAACGAGGCAACAGGAGAATCCTGTTGCTTTCTTAGGCCTGGTCTACACTAGGACTTTAATTCGGATTTAGCTGCCTTAATCCGAATTAACCCTTCACCCGTCCACACTACAGAGCCAGTTAATTCGAATTAAAGGGCCCTTTAAATCGATTTCTGTACTCCACCTCGACGAACGGAGTAGAGCCTAAATCGATTTTGTTAATTCGAATTAGGGTTAGTGTGGACGCACACCACCGAATTACTGTGTTTAAGTTAATGGGGTAGTGTGGCCGCACACCACCGAATTAATGTGGTTTAAAACCGAATTAAGGTGCTTAGTGTGGCCGCGCACAATCGAATTTATACAACCTGTTTCCCAAATTCGAATTATCTAAATTCGGATTAATCCTGTAGTGTAGACATACCCTTACAGTACCATTAAAGCTATGTATTTTCAGGTTATGGTCAATCACCACCTGGCCTCATTACTTATTTGTTTTTCCCATTTCCCCTCCCCTCCAGCCATTGGTTGTTTTGGAGAGAGAGAGTGTGTATAAGCTCTTGAGAGCAGAGGCCTTGCTTTATTTAGGTTAGGAAAGCATCTAGCATTTTGTGGGTGCTAACAAAGTATTATTATGAATAGTAATACCTCCTGCTCACATCATCAATGAAGGGGATGTACCCACAATAAAGTAAACCAAGACGAGCCACATTGTCTTCCAGACAAAGGGGGAGAAATCATACTTTGCTCAGAAGGTAAACGACAACATAACAGAGAAAAAAAGGAGAAAAATGCTAGCTAAACTATTGTTTCCTGCCCCTTTTTAATATATTTTACTGTGGCCCAAGCAGGAATTTAAAAATTAAGGGCAAAACTCTCCTCTCTGATCTGCATTGCAGATCTCTTTCCTGCATTGTGGATCTCTGAGGCATGTTGTGCACTCATTACATAATGGAACTCCCATTGGCATCAGGGAAAGACTACATAATATGCCCCAGAGGTGGTTTGGCAGGTGATGTGCTGCAATCGCTGCTTATTACACTGCCCATGACTGTCTGACTATTACCTGGAGTTCTTCTGTCATGTCCACCTGTAGTCTCTTGTCTCTTGCAAGCTCTTTTGGTCAGGGTCTGTCTCTTTGTTGTATGTTTGCCACACACAAGGGGACCTTGGCCTCCAGATGCTATTGCAATACAAATAATAAAAAAATGCTACTAATAATGAAGAGGCCCGTGCTGCAAGTAGGAGCTCTGCAGTGTGGGTCCACCATCCAAGACAGTGATTGAAGTCATAGAGGGCCACAAAGTAATTGGGGTGTGATATTTGGACACACACCGCAATATTTGCATTGTTCTGAATCATCTCATTTTGTGATATTATCACAAAAATCCCATTCGCGTTAGAAAACCCACTAGGCCATTGCACTGTGGTTGTTTAGTCCTCCTCTCATAGGAATTGCCATATTAGATGGAATCCCAAGATCCATCTAGTCGAGTATCCTGCCTGGGCCAGTGGCCAGAACTAGGGCCCAAATCCACAAAGGGACTTAGGCATTGTGATGCAGAGCATTTTAATGCCTAACTTGTAGGCACCTAGAAAATCACAGGAACAACACTGTGATCCAGAAAGCCTGAGTTAGGTGCCCAGGCTCCCTATACAATTAATGGGGAGACGTAGGTGCCTAAGAATGCAAACCACAAAAGCCAGCACGCTAGGCAGGGACCCTCCTAAGTTAGCCAGTGGGAGATGCTGATGAGAGTGGTGTGTCATAAACCCCACCCCTCTGAGGGAGACTGGTGCTTTAGTCCAGGCTGCTGGGACGCACCTGTCTTTGCTAGTGATCCACAGCCAGGAGTCAGATGGCTTAGGTGCCTAAGACATGTGAGAAGCAGTGAAACAGGCACCTAACCACACAATGGCTGGGGGGGTGTGCCCACCTTATAACTTTTAGCCCAGTGGCTTAGAGCACTCAGCTGGGCTGTGAGAGACCCACTTCTCCCAGGTGGGGAGAAAGGCTGTGAACAGGGATCTGCCTGCCACCTTTCAGGAGAGTGCTCTATCCACTGAGCAATGGGATATTCTGGTGTGGGGCTCCCTCAATCTCTCCTGCTAAAGCTGTTCCACCTTGGATAAATACTTAAAGAGTTGCTGGATCATGAGAGATGACTCTATAGCCTTGTAATTAAGGCACCTTCCTAAGTGGTGGGAGACTTAGAGTCCAGTCTCCTTGCTCCAGTGACTCTTTAATTATTCATACACAGTGGAACAGCTTCAACAGGAGAGACTGAGGGCTATATCCCATAGCCTTGTGTTTAGTGCTGGGAACCCCTGTTTAAATCCTCTCTCTGTTTTAGGCAGAGGGAGGATTGAACCTGGGTCTCCAACATCCTGCGTGAATGTTCTAACCACCAAGATCAAAGTTGCAAGGTGGGGATCACTTCATCTTCTAGCCAGATTTTGAATGGGATCTGATCTGGCAGGCAGCCTCTGAGTACACCTATTCGTTTGGGCCCACAGGTTCTCCTCTGGTTCTCTCATCTATTTTCCTCCAGTTCATGGATTGCTGTGGAGCTTGGGCAAGAGATAGGCATCCAGATGCCTAGCATGAGGCAGCAGTAGGCACGCCCAGAGGCGGAAACATAGGCCCCTGGGGAACCTTTACTGCCAACTTTTAGGTGCTGAGCGAGTTTAGCTGTCCATAGGATCAGGCAGCAGCCAAACACCAGTTTGGGGGGTTGCAGTGGTGCCTAAAACTAAATCTGGAGTTTTGGCAGCTAAATATCTTTGTGGATCTGGGTCTAGATGCTTCAGAGGAAGATGTTAGCAGCCCCTCCCTCATTAGATTTTATCCCAATTTCTAATAGCTAGAGATTGGCTTAAGACCTGAAGCATGAGGTTTAATATCCCTTCTACAATTTTTGTTATTAATTATTATAACTCTGGATATTCTTGATACCCGTATAAATGTCCAGTCCCTTTTTAGAATCTTGTTATGTTCTTGGCCTCAGTGACTCCCTGTGTGCAATGAGTTCCACAGTTCAATCACAAGCAGTGTGAAAAAGTGTTTCCTTTTATCAGCCTTGAGTTTCACACCTGTTAATTTCATTGACCATGTCCTTATTCTCTGTCGCTTTCCTTGCCTACTTTCTGACTGCCGGGAGTTATCCTCCGGTAGCAATTCCAGTCTGTTTGCTCTGCACACCCACTGGTCCTTCACATTCAGTTTGCTCTGAAAGCAAGCAGTGCAAGAGGAGTTGAACCCAGACCCCTGAACGCCTCAAGTTTTACATAGGAAGGCTGTAAGTGTCTCTTGAGCCACAGGTTGGAGTCATTGCTTTAAAAATGAAGTGCATTGTGTGTATAGACACAATGGAAGCCAGTGATCCAGCAGAACCACCAATGTTCCCATTCATGAGAGGGTCATGGGCAGCAGAGCTGGGTACCATGCCCATTCCACCATGTTGGTCAGCATAAAGGCATTTGAACGTGGAGGGAGGCCAGATACAATGGCTACAGGATTTAGTGGTTCCAGTGGCTACAAAATCCAACACAGATGGTATACAATGGTCCTCGCCCTTACCTCACTCCCTGAGGGTTGGGAAATGCATTCCTTCCATCTGTCCAAGCCTGGCTCAGGCTAGTTTACACAGCCCATTTACTCTGGCTTTCTGAAAGTGTTGTGAATTTCACCCTAAATTCTTTGTAGCAGTTTTAGTGCCCTGTGATTAGACACAGTAAAACTGACAAGGACTCTGAGCATCTTAACATTCAAAATATAATGCTGGATATATAATTTTTTTGGTTTTGTTTTAACTCACAGGAACAAATACCCCAAATTAGAAACAGACATTGAGCAGCAGCTCTCCAGCGCTTCAAGAGAAATACAAAACATTTGCAAGACAAGATTATTTTTTGGCAGCATAGCTGTATCCATAGTTTAAATCCTCATTTACTCAGTGCACATATTTACTGCTGCAAGTGGAATAATTACTGCTTGGAAACCATTACTCAGTCCAAGAAATGATGAATGCCTCAATTTTCTAAAAATATGAATCTCAAAAGCTGTTTTGATTTTACATCTTCCTTTACTTTCATTTTGAAGGTTTAAGTGGAAGATAATAGTGGTGATGAAGAGCTATCATTTAGCAGCATGGGTCGGAATGTAACATACCCCTGTAAAGGATTCCAAAATAATGGTGCTGTTGTGATAGATTAAGGGCCTCATGGTGCCTTTAAAGTACAGCCTTTCATTGTGGGCAGTGTGGAGCCGCACTGTCTCATGGGGAGGGATTCCTCACTGAGCACCCTTGGGGGAGTGCAGGCTTTATTAGCAGGTGGCAGCAGCCTAAAGGATTCCCTGATGCGCCTACCTTGCTTTGAAGGCCAGTATGGAGAAGTAGACCATGCCCCTACCTCCTCCATCCAGCCTGCAGTTGTGTCTGGCTCTTAACATGTGTCAAGCAAGGCAGGAAAGACCCTTAGTGCTCTCCATCCATGCACCTCTGGAAGAGCCCGTCACATTCTGACACTACATGCCTGATCGGTGTTTCATAATCTACATCTGGCCATAATTCTCATTTATTTTAAACCTTGCATTAATCTTTAGTGACTCCTCCAGCCAGTTGAGAGTCAGTGATAGGTTGTGGAGGCAGCAGTAAAGTATGAACAGGTTGGTGTTAAACTAAGAGTAAAGGGAAAGCGAGGGGTGATGCCTGGGCTCCAAAAGGTATTCAAAAGATCCCCAACTTCTCTGGGATGAAAATGACAAAATAAATGGGGGAGAAACGAGTCTTGGGTCTGAATTGATTAATCTGTGAAGAATCAGATGATGTTTTAAATACCTGGTAGCAGCTCTAATGAACTCATCCAAAGCCCAATGAAATCACTGGGAGTTTTTCCATTGACTTCAGTCAGTTTTGGCTCTGTCCCTAAAATAGTATAGTTCTTGCTCTGATATAATAATTCCAATTAAACAGCAAGACTTTCTGTTCTTGTTAAAGTTTTATCAGTCCAATATTGCAGAGGATAATTTGCTGGAAGTCAATTGTCATAACAGCTATATTAAACATTGTATATCTTCTTTAGGGCCAGGTTTTCAAAGAGGGATCTAGATTTTGTATCTTTAATTTTGAATGGTCAAAAGCAGGTAGTTAAACCATCTAACTAATTGATTTACAAATCCAAATGTCATTTGTACACATATATCTGGGTGGTTTTAGCCCTGAAATTGCTTGAGCAAATTTAAAAGTGGTTTTTGAAAATTAGACATCCTAATAATTTTTGTATCACTCTTTGGACAAATGATACCAAGTTAACAAATGCAAGGAAACTGAGATTCTTGCTCTGCCTTTTATTTTTGTATATTTGTATTTATTTTTCTAATATTTAACAGGAGAACTAAAACAAACAGCTGCTCTCTTTCAGGGATAAATTTAGGGACTACTTCCAAGACTTCAACAAGGCCTTTTATAGACTGGATAAAAATAAAGATGGCTATATAACAGTAGATGACCTACTCAGGATGCTGCAAGAATTCAACTATTATCTTGATGATGAACAGTTCACCAGTCTTCTAAACAGGTTTTTATGATTATATCATAGGTCTCTCTTTTGTCCCAAGCCAATAAAGGACTTAAGTATGCACTTTACTTTAAGAAAATAAGTAGTCTTATTAAAGCCCATGCAATTACACACATACTTAAAGGTACCCATGTGCTGAAGCGCTATGCTCGATCAGGGTTGATTCTGAGGATAAGTAGGGTGGTAATTGATTTTTAGATAAAATTAAAAACAGATTAATTTACTCTGTCTTCCTCATAACATTAGTGTTGTAACAACTTAAAGGCTTTTGAAATCAAGCTGATTATTTGAGGAAATTAAGCAGATCTGAAAATAGGTCAGGTTTTTAGTGTATTTTAAAATTTGTAATTAAATTAGTAGTTTTATTTAATTAAACAAAAAAGAGTGGGGGGAAAAACCCTGCAAAACCAGAAATTGAATCATATCGGGTTAAAAAGTATTAATTTTCAAATGCTACTGCTATGCAAAGGCATACATTCTGTATTGTGTCTTAATATCATCAAGTAATATCAAGAAATAGAATCTCTTTTATAAGGTCTATAGAACACAAAGGACCTAATCTAGTAGAAGATATCCATAGCTTTCTGCACTTCACAAGCCACAGAAGTGACATCCCTATGTGGCACTGCATTATGTTCTCATAACACGGTTAGACCAGACTCTTTAAAAAGAAATTACAAAATCTTTTCTCAGTTCACCTTTTGTTGAGTGATCAACTTTTTATGAATGGAAACCCTAATAAGAATCTTCTGCTTGTTTCTTCTTCAAAGACCTCTTGATGATAAACACCTCCATTCATTGTAATTTTGCTCAGATTATTCCTTTCTAGATCCAAAACAGACTTTTCTAAATAATACAGAGTAGATTAGCATTTGCATTTGGTTTCATTACTAACATTTTCATACCAGCTTGGCAATGTATTTCTCTGCTGAAGTGGAGTTGATTATTTCCTTTTCCACAGCGTCTCCAGGATTGGAGCCAGCTTGACCTGGGTAATATGTGGGAGTGCTGTGCAGCTGCAAGACACAAAACCAGGGCTCTTGAGTGTATTTTTCTTAGTAACGGATATTGGGTCTATGGTTATTTTCTGTTCCAGCCTCTTTTTATAAAGCTTCCTTTTTGTTTAACTGGCTCTCCTCAATAATCAGACATTCTAGTAAGAGGGTGTTCTGGTGATTGGTGGTGGTCCTCAGTGATTTACTGTGAAAAAAGATGACAAAAGTACATTACAGTAATTCACTTTCACATACAGAATATAAGATTCATTCACCATGCTGGGTCAGACTATAGGGCAATCCACTCTGCCACTGGCAAGTTCTTGATGCTTCAGAACATACTTTAGCCATTACATTTCCGTAGCCAAGGGTGCAATGCTGAATGCAGGACAGAAAAAGTCCTCCCTGGCCCCTGTGGTATGAGATTTGCTTACCTCTATCAAAGCATGCATAGTGTCTACAAATGTGATTACTGGTCATAAAATTATCTAGGCCGATTAAAACTCCATGTACAGTCTCTGAACGAGATCCTGATCTCAATTACCCCAGTGTAAATCTGAAATAATTCCAATGGAGTCAACGGATTGCACCAGGTTAAGTGAGCAGAATCTCTCTGACTGGGTTTTGATGGTAATAAATTCCATAAGCTGACTACACTGAATTTCCACTGGGGTAGCTGAGAGCAGAATCTGCCCTTTGATGCTATGATTTACTATGGTGATGAATTCCACAGGTTGACCACACAAGTCTGAAGTCTTTTCTCTGATTGTTTTAAATCTACTTGATATCATTTAATTGAATGTTCTTATCTGATGGGGCAGTGGAATAAATAAATAAATAAATAAATAAAATAATTCCAATCCGCTTCCCCCCCCAACTCTTCTCCTTCCTGTACTAAACAACCCTTATTTTTGCAGTTTCTCTCCATATGTAAATCATGACTTAATTCTCATCTTATGTGGTGAAACATCCTTGAGTAAAAATGAATTTGGTTTTGTAACAAATTCCTCCACAAAAAAACCTCAAAATCATATGTTAGAACTCCTCTTTCCCCATGCTGATATTTGACGCAAAAATGTATTCACTGTTTATACCTGGAGCTATCTATATTTAGATGTGCAGCTCACTGAATTTCTTATATGATGAAGTACAAAACTCCATAGTCTCTGTGATCTACCAGATATTACAGTTGGCAAGCAGATATTTAAAAGGTCTGAGACGAGATTTGAGAGACTTCAGGCCAGACTCTCCAGTGCAACCTGACCATGAAATCTTAGCAGCAAATTCCCCTTGTGGAGGGGAACTCTTCACTGGTTGGAGATGGCATCTGCTGGGCCAGACATATCACCCTTCAACTCAGTGGGTGTGCCAAGGGAGGAACGGCATGTATCAGAGGAATAGTGAAGGGGAACTTCATTACACCAGTCCTCCACATTCCCCAGACACCTTATGCGAGTGGCTTAGGTTAGAGCAGCCATTATGTTGCTCTCATGGATACCAGAGCCAGGCTCGTGCAGGATCAGGAGCTGTACAATTGTTCCCTGATAGCCTGCCACCCTGTGCCCAGAGGAGCGCAAATGCAGGGGACAGTCGAGCCCTTCAGTTATAAACTCAAGAAAAGCTTTGCATGGAAATTGATCTAGTTTCCTACCATGTGATGAATAGAATGCAGTTTATCCAGTGTTTATAGCAGGAGGCCAGGAACCAGAACTCTGGGTTCCATCTGCAGCTGGCACACTGTGATTTTGGGGAAGTCACTAAGGATATGTCCACACAGCAGCTGGCAGCAAGCTAGCATACTAAAAGCAGCAGTGTGGACTTTGCGGCTCGGGCAGTGGTTCATGCTCTCAAGCCCACCTGACCCCCTATGTTCGAGCTTGGGTGGCTATCCTGAGGCTTTGCCAGAGCCTCAGTGCCCACAGTGCTTTGTTTAGCGCCCGAGCTTGAGCTAGCACAAATCTGTGTCCCTAGGCTGGGAGGCTCCCTCCCACCAGCAGTGTAGACATACCTTAGGGCTTGATTTTCAGAGATCCTGAGCAACCACAACTCCCACGGAAGCCCACAGGAACTGCAGGGACTCAGCACTTTTAAAAGTCAGTCCAGCAATCTCTCTTTGCCTCAGTTTCCTTTTCTGTAATACTGGGATAGCAAAACTTCATGGGATACTGTGAGATTTATGTTAGACTTTAACAGCACTTTTAGATCCTGGAATAAAAGGCACTTTGCAAAGCGCAAAACTGGAGCAGGGACTATCTTTTTGTTCTGTGTTCGTACAGCACCTACCACAATGGGGTCCTGACCCAGACCTGGGTCTCACTTCCACAATACAAATAATAATACATTAGTAGCAGTTGTAGTAGTGATATACTTTTTTACAAAATGTTGATATACTATTCTGCTGTTTCTCTTAGTTTAGGAATCAGTATTCATGACAGCAAGCTCTCTTATTTTGATTTCCTGAGAGCGATTGATGATGGCAGAGCATCTAAATACCAGCAGAGACAAAAGCATGCTGCACCACCTGCAAGCTTTGCAATGCTCAGCTTAGAAAAGACCCTAATTAAGATAAAAGAAATAGTTACATCTTCTTATGATTTGTTATACAAGGTAGGTTACATGTGGACATAACATTTCATTTCATTTCTTTATGCTTGGATGGGGGCTAGCCCAGCTGTCTAGAAGCATTTCTGCTGCTAACTGGGGTTCCCCAATCCCAGGCCAGCAAGAGTGGGGATAACTATAAAAGTGGCATGGTCAGCCCCCATCAGAGAAAGCACTTTCTATAGCATCTTTGTAGCATGGTGGTTACATGACGCAGCAATGACAACTCTGCAGCATATGGCCATGTGAGGATAGAGGTTGGTGAGTAAAAGGGGAAAACAGGATCTTAGAGTCCTGTGACAGGGTTGGGACTCACCACCGAGCACCTCCTGCTGGTTACCTCCGGGAATTAGCTCAGTCTAGTGGAGCGCCCTCTCCTGGTGGTGTCCCGCCCATTGTCTCGGCCTTGGTTGGCGTCTGAGCCCGCGTTGCTCTCCAGCTTACCCTATCCCCCCAGCTGCATTTGGCTGGTGGGGTCCCCTCCCTGCTGTGCCCCCTGGTCCCCCTGTGTTAGTTTGACCCTTCCCCCCTGCAGCCTGCCCCGCCCACTACCTGCTTTGATCCTTTCTGTTAGTTTGCCTGCCCCGCCCTAGCCCTTCAGTATTTGTTACCTGTCCCGCCCCAAACTTTGGGCTTTGGTTAGGTTGCCTGCCCTGCCCTTACCCTTGTAGTTCCCCCCTGAGATTTACCTTGCCCCTTGTTTTTTCCTCTGCCCTCCCTTGCCCCCCCTCCCAGTTTGGTCCTTCTTACCCGTGCGCCCATGCCCCCTCCGTAAGCGCTTTTGCCCCCTTTTAGTTGTGCCCCCACCACTGTTCACAGCCTCCCCACTGATATTGTAGTCCCTCCCTTTCCCAGTGCAGCCGGAGGAGCCGGTATCCCTACCCAGTACCTGTGCCCCCTTTTGCCCCCGCGTACCTCGCCGCTGGCACCCTCCTCCCCTGCCTGCAGCCTAGCGGGGAGGAGCGATTGCTTCTTCCCTTTCCCCCGGTTCCCCCTGTTGTTCCCTGCCCACTGGTGCCCTCCTTCCCTGTACACAGCCTAACAGGGAGGAGTGGTTATCCACGTTCCCTCTCCCCCATCCCCCCTGCATACCCCACCGCTGGACCCTCCTCCCCTGCATGTTGCTTAGCAGGGAGGAGTGGCTGCCTATCGCCTCACCCCCACATTAAGGCCTCCCCTTGCCACCATGGAGGAGGACCCTGCTCCTGCCCGTCCCAACCCCTGCTTCGACCCTCAGCCCTGCTCCTGTCCCTGCCCCTGCTGACCCTGTGGTTCCCCCATTGCCACCACCCCTGCCCGCCCCAGCGGCTGACCTCTCAGCCACCACTAGCCCAGACTCTGCCGCTGCCATGGCCGCCCCTTCCACAGGCAGAAAGGGCCAGGGGAATAAAAAGGGCAAAGGCCCCGCCCGGAAACCGAAACCTCCTGCCGGCAGGGCCACCCTCCCTGCTGCGGCTCCGACACCTGCCGCGGCCCCTCCTTGCCCTGCCGTTCCTGCCACAAGCTCTGGGGGCGTTCCATCTCAAGCCCCCAGAGCGTACGCCCAGGTGGCCGCCGCCCTTCCGCGAGCCACTGCGCCATTCGCCCCGACTGCCGCCTCCGGTACCATCCCTGGTGGCCGGGGCCCCTTCCCCTCGATGACCAGGAGGCACGGCGTCCGCTGTCTCCTGGTGCCCGCCTCGCCCCACGTCAAAACATACGTGCAGGCGCTGGCGAGGGTGGTGGGGCCAATGGCCGTCGTGGCAGCCTCCAAAATGTATGGCAAGGTCGTCTTCTTCCTTGCCTCAGACGCCGCGCAGGAGGCGGTGGAGAAGGGCCTGGCGGTAGGGGGCGTGTTTGTTCCCTTGGAACCTCTAGAGGACCTGGGCATCCGGGTGGTGTTGACCTCCGTCCCGCTCTTCCTTCCCAATGCTGCCCTGTTGCCTGTCCTCTCCACCCTGGGGAAGCCCATTTCCATCATCAGCCCTTTCCCACTGGGCTGTAAGGACCCCGCCCTTCGTCACGTCCTGTCCTTCCGCTGGCAGGTCCAGATCCAACTACTGCCGGCGGCACGTGATGGAGTGGTGCTCGAGCGGTCCTTCCTGGTGCTCTACCAGGGGGCCCATTACCGAGTCCATTATACGATAGGGGAGGCCCGGTGCTTCCTCTGCCAGGCGACGGGGCACGTCCGGAGGGACTGTCCCCTGGCCCGGCACGGAAGGGCATCCCGGAGCCCCGAGACCCGTGAGGGCGCCGGCCTTGTCATCGCCGGCGACCTTGGTGGCCCAGCTACCGCTGCTGCTGCCCCTCCTCCTCCTGCCACAGGGACGGCCGAGCGGGCGGGCCTCGCCTCCATCGGTTGCAGTTCAGCGGGGCCCGCGGAGGAGAGGGCGAGACCCCTGCCGGCCGAGGGAGAGGGCCCGCCCCAGGGGGAGGTTTCCCTTCCCCCCGCTGTCCTGCCCTTGCCGCCCCGAGCCCCGAAACCTTCGCCCTTGCCTCCTGGCCCTGCCCCCGCTGACCAGCCTTCCACCTCCACTTCCACCTCGGAGGGCTGGGTGCTCGTCCAGGGGAAGCGATGAGGAGGGAGAGGAGGACCCCCGAAAGATGCTGCGGGGGCTGGGGCTGCTAAATCTTCCACCGCTCCCCCGGACAGTGCCCAGCAGGAGGCGCCAGCTATGGAAACCATGGTAGCGGACGGAGGGGATCCTGCCCCCCTTGTCGAGTCCCCCCCTGAGGAGGCTTCGGTGGAAGTTCCCACGGCCCCATACCACCTGTGCCCCCCGCCGCCACAGATACCAGGGCAATTGTTGCCTCTGTGACTGGCGGGGAGGTTGCTGGGGCCGAGGGGACTGAGTTCTCCTCAAATATTGAGGTGATCAAGGCCATGGGTCTGACCCCTGTCACCCAGGGGGAGGACGACCCCCCGGCAGCTGCACTATTCCCTCCACTGCCCCCTTCCTTGCCGGGGATGGAGATGGGCTGCCTGGCGCAGCAGTGCAGGGGCTCGGCCCCTTGTTTGCCTGTCTCCGCGGTCCACGAAGATCTCTCGGGAGCCCCACTGGAGGACGGCAGCAGATTGGCCGCTGCATCCCCCTCTACGCTGAAGGATGAGCTGCGCCGCTTCCTGAAGGACACCTGTGGCTCAAAGAGCAAGGTGCAGCTTGCTCTCCAGCACTGGGGGGGGGACTTCCATCGTGTCCTCCGGGCCATGAGGGCCCTTTTGGGGGAGGGGAAAGGGACCAAGAGGCAGGACATCGTGGCCTACCGGCGGGCCCGCAAGTTCTGCAACTCCCCCGTGACCTTTGGGGTCGAACATGGGTTGTTGCGGGGAGCGCTGGAGGCTGTAGATCACCCTGCCCATGAGGATCCACCCCAGCCCTCCCTATGAAAGTCGTCATCTTTGCCACCTTAAACACCCGGGTCTGTAGGGTGGGTCTCCGCAGGAGCCAGGTGCTCTCCTTCCTTCGGGAGGGGGGGTACTCTGTGCTCTTCCTGCAGGAGACCCATACGGCTCCAGCCGTCAAGGCTAGCTGGCGGCTGGAGTGGAGGGACAGGGTATATTTTAGCCACCTCGGCACCCGCTCAGCTGGGGTGGCCACCCTGTTCTCCCCCGAGCTACGGCCCGAGGTGCTGGGGGTCGCCGAGGTTGTGTTGGGTCGCCTTCTGCATGTCTGGGCCAGTGTGGAGGGGCTGATATTAAACCTGGTCAATGTTTACACCCTGAACACGGGCCCGGAATGAGTGCGTTTCTATCGGCAGGCGTCGGCTTTCCTCGGCACCCTGGATCCTCACGAGTGCCTGGTCCTGGGCGGGGACTTCAACATCACCCTCGAGGACCAGGACCGCTCAGGAGTCGAGAATTCCCAGGCGGCCGCGGGTGTCCTCAGGGAGATGGTGGATCATCACTCCCTGGTGGATGTCTGCCTCGACCACCACCCGGACGATGACACCACCTTCACCTATGTCCGGGTGGAGGAGGATCGGTCACACCACTCCTGGTTGGACCGCATTTATTTCTCATGTTTCTATCTGGCACGGGCCCACGCCGCCGGCATCCGGCCAGCCCCGTTCTCGGATCACCACCTGGTGACCGTGACGGCCTCTCTCAGTTCGGAGAGGCCGGGGCCGGCCTATTGGCATTTTAACAACAGCTTGCTGGAGGACGTGGGCTTCGTGGCGTCCTTCCGGGAGCTCTGGCTGGCCTGGCGGGGACAGCGGCGTGCGTTTCCCTCGGCGAGGCGGTGGGATGTGGGGAAGGTGCGCGCACGGCTCTTCTGCCACGACTACTCCCGGGGCGGCAGCCGGCAGAGGGATGTGGTGATAGGGCAGTTGGAGCGGGAGGTCTTAGAGCTAGAGAGGCGTCTGGCTTCTGGCCCCAAGGATGCACCCCTCTGTGCAGCCTACCGGGAGAAGTGGGAGGAGCTCAGGGCCCTGGAGGACCATCGGGCCCGGGGCGCATTCGCTCGATCCCGCATCCATCTCCTTCGGGAGATGGATCACGGCTCCCACTTCTTCTACGCCCTGGAGAAAAAGAAGGGGGCTAAAAAGCATGTCACCTGCCTCCTGGCGGAGGACGGCACCCCCCTCACGGATCTGGAGAAGATGCGTGGAAGGGCCAGGGCCTTCTACGCCAGCCTTTTCTCCCCGGATCCAGCCGAAGCCTGTAGAGTGCTCTGGACCGGGCTCCCTATAGTCAGCGCGGGCGACCAAGGCTGGCTGGAGCTGCCTCTCTCTCTGGCCGAGCTCTCGGGAGCCCTCTGTCTCATGCCCACCAACAAATCTCCGGGCATGGACGGGTTGACTGTGGAGTTCTACCGCGTGTTCTGGGACGTCCTCGGCCCAGACCTCGTCACTGTCTGGGCCAAGTCCTTGCAAAGCGGGGTCCTCCCTCTCTCATGCAGGTGAGCCATGCTCGCGTTATTGCCGAAGAAGGGGGACCTCTGCAACCTACGGAATTGGCATCCCGTCTCGCTCCTCAGCACGGACTATAAGGCTGTAGCGAAGGCCATCTCGCTGCGGCTGGGGTCCGTGCTGGCGGACGTGGTCCATCCCGACCAGACCTACACCGTCCCGGGCCGGACCATTTTCCATAACTTGTATTTGGTCCGGGACCTCTTGGAGCTGAGGCATAGGGATGGTCTGTCGTTCGCCCTCCTGTCCCTGGACCAGGAGAAGGCGTTCGACAGGATGGACCATGGGTATCTCCTGGGCACTCTGCGGGTGTTTGGCTTCAGGCCCCAGTTCGTGGGCTTCCTCCAGGTGCTGTACGCTGAGGCGGAGTGTCTGGTCAGGCTCAATTGGACCCTGACCGAGCTGGTCAGCTTCGGCCGGGGAGTACGGCAGGGGTGCTCCCTGTACGCTCTGGCGATCAAGCCCTTCCTCTGTCTCCTCCGCCGGAGGTTGACAGGGTTGGTGCTTCGGGAGCTGGAGCTGCGGCTGGTCCTGTCGGCGTATGCCGACGACGTGCTCCTTGTGGTCCAGGACCCGGGCAACCTGATGCGGGTGGAGACCTGCCAGGCCGTTTATTTGGTGGCCTCCTCCGCCCGGGTCAACTGGGTCAAGAGCTCTGGCCTGGTGGTCGGGGACGGGTGGCGGGCGAGCTCCCTCCCACCCGCGCTTCAAGCCATCTGTTGGAGCGCGGGTCCGCTGCTCTATCTCGGCGTTTATCTCTGCGCCACGCATCCTTCTCTGCCGGCGAACTGGCAGGATTTGGAGGCCAGGGTGTCTCTCCCTGCAAGGGAGGGCGCTAGTGCTAAATCAGCTAGTCCTGTCCATGCTCTGGCACCGGTTCAACACCCTGAGCCGGGCCCCGGGGACCCTGGCCAGGATCCAGAGGACGGTCCTGGAGTTCTTCTGGGCGGGGCTGCACTGGGTCCCTGCAGGGGTTTTGAGTCTTCCCCTGGAGGAGGGAGGACAGGGCCTAGTCTGCCTTCGCAGCCAGGTCCATGTCTTCCGCCTCCAGGCCCTACAGTGACTCCTTTACCAGGGCCGGCTCCAGGCACCAAGCACCCAAGCGGGTGCTTGGGGCGGCACCTGGAGGGGGGCGGCGCGGCGCTCTGGCCGCCGGGGGGAGAGCCGAGCCGAGCCCCAGCCGGGGCTCGCCGCCCTCTCGCCGCCCTGCCCCCGGCGCTCTGGCCGCCGGGGGGGGCGGGGGAGAGCCGAGCACCCGCCGGGGCTCGC